CTTTCCAGGTTTCTTTTTTTTTTTTTTTTTTTTTTTTTGGTCTTTTTCGTTTTTACCGGTACCGGGGATCGAACTCACGACTGCCTGCTTGCAAGGCAGGCGCTTTTGCCGCTGAGCTAAATCCCCAGCCCTTTTCCAGGTTTCAAGCAATGTTCCTGAGCTTCCCCCCGGCGTGTTGGAAATCACTTCCTGTGCCCTCAGCCCCTCAGATTGAATGAAGGTCGCTGAGCGTGGCCCAGTCAGGCCCACAGGACCTCTTGTGTCTCCTGTGGTGGTTTGAAAGCTGGGCGGGGTCTTAACCACTGGGAGCAATGGAGTGCTGAGTGACTTTGAGGGATGTGGGCTCATTGGGAAGAAGGGTACAGGGCCAATCTTGGTGCGATTACATTTTAACCTTAGCTGAGTGGGAGGTGTGGTATGCTGTGTGTTCTAGTGCTTCTGGCTGACAGCTGGCTTGTGAGCCTATCTCGTACATACTTGGTTACCAACTAGCCCAGCACCCATGGAATGTTCCATGAGCCTCCATTCTCTGGGCTTCAGATTCTTTCTCTGTGAAAAAAAAAAAGGATTTAAAAGAAATCAACAGCATGGTCTCATCCAGCCCTAAGATTGATAACTAGAATTAGAATATTATTTCATTTAATATATTTGTTTAAAAATATATTTAATTTAATATAGCAGTGTTTATATTCATAGCTTACTTTAAGATACAATATTACATGGAATGCCCATAATTCCAGATTTATATATGAGAGGATTAGTCTTACAGAAGATAAATGATTTGTCTTAAAACATCCATCTAACAAATGGCCATGTTAGGTCTCAAACATGGATCTGAGTCTTGCTTTTCCTACTGGCTAACAGATACTGGCTCCAGGAATACTTTTAAACCAGCCCCTATCCTTCCAAAAAAAACCCCTTCAGCCCTGGTTCCCTCTGCTCCCCCTTCTTTTCTTATCTCGTCTTGAGGTCCAAGCTGCTTTCACCCACCTTAGGATTCCTCTGAATTCTCCATAGTTCTTTTGCCTTCTCTGCTTCTCTTTTCATCCCTTTCTACATCCCTCTGAGCCTCCTCCCTCTCCCATCTGCCTCTCTGGAGTGCCAGTCTCTCTTGGTAAACATTTCTGGGCTTTCTCCTTCTGAAGATGTTGCTCACTCTCCTGGGTGACTGTGGGGTGGTGAGGTCTGTGGGTTGGTGACGGTAGGGAGATGGCACCCAGATGTACCTTAATAACCAGGTGATGGTTTCTAATCCAGTGCCATGGTTTCCAAGCATCCGGGGAAGAAAGGTCAGTATTGGAGTCATACCTCGAGTTCTGGGAGGAGGTATAACTCAAAAAGAGACTGGAGTGAGACAAGACTTGTAATCTATACTTGTAACAAAGTTTCTCCAAGATGATGCTGACGTGTAGGAAGGTTCATACCCACTAGGGTCCAATCCTGAGGCTGAGTTCAAGAGTGATCAGGTGCCCACAGGGTTATGAGTTGGGCCACCTCATTGAATGCAGATGTGTAGCCCACAAATGTCATGTAGGGCATTGGACACTTGTTCATTCCTCATCTCAGGTGTCAGTAGTATGTTTAAATCAGTAGGTAGAACTCCTTGCTTCTTATACATATGATAAACAGAGTGATAACTAAATTTTCATAGGGAGAAGATGGTGAGGATGAATCTGCTGAATAGATCCCCCTTAGGGGAGGCAAAAATGAAAACAAAAGTGTTGAAAAACAGTGGGTTATGCAAGGATGACTGTGTCTCTGAGAGTAATGTCAAGTCATCCATGTCCTTTCATTCCGCATCTCTGGGTCGCAGGACAGACGATTCAAAGACAAGACTGGAGCTTACATGCTATAGTTTTTCTAGCTATTAACCAAAAATGGTTAGATTTCCCTGACTTCTACAGTTAGGGTGATTTATTTCTCTACAATGCATAGCTCTAGTTATTTACTTCATTCATTTATTATTTTGCATTTAGCATTAGTAACCCAGCACCACTGGTACCTATATATGTTGTCTTATAACTGCATTATGAGGTATTTTATAGTGGAGACCATGTACAATGCATTAACTTACTCATCCTGAGCACCTTCAGGCATGACCTAGGATCTAAAAAGACAAAGACCATAAGACATATTTTCTGACTTTAAAGACTTCTCAGTAATAGTTGTGAAACCGTGTGACAAATGTAATGATAGAGATACATACAATGTGTGCAGAGAAGAATCTTATGTGGCTGGGAGAGGCAGTGCTTGAACTGAGCCTTGAAGGAAAAATGAAAAGGAATTTCATAAAGCATGGGTAAGAGACAGGAAGACTATGCCAGGCTGAACTGGAGATGAGTCCAGGCCAAGGGACGAGGGTTTTTGAAGCTTTTTCTAAGGGCCTAGAGAAATGCTACTGGAGAATTTAAGTTAGCCAGGGACACAGTAAGTCCCCTTCTCAGAGCTCCCCTGGCTGCAGTGTGACAGGAGCAGAGGAGGACTGGAGCCTCACTGAGAGATGCTGCAGTAATGCAGAGTCAGTGATGCCTGAACAGGGGTGGGAGTGAAGCAGAAGGGACCAACTGCAAGGATCATTTAGGAAGGATGATGCAGAGATCCTGTGCATTCAGAATTTGTGAGTGTGAGTGAAAATTAGTATCATCACGGTAAGGGAAGCTTTTTCACTATCTGTTAATGCATAAAAGGGAACAGTCTGTGCTATAGTTTGGATTTGGGATATGTTTGGTTCATCTGTCCTCAGTATGGCACTAACGGGAAGGCATGGAGGCTTTAAGAAGTGGGACTGAGGTCACTGTGGAGCTGCCCCCCGAGGGACTGTGAATCCCTTCTCTTACCCCTGTGTCATACCTTTCTTAGTCATATGGTAAGGGACTTTCTTGGCCTGCTACCATGATATGCTGTCTTCCAATCCTCAATACAGACCCAAAAGTCATGGGTCCATCCTATCATGGATTAGAAGCTTCAAAACTCTGACTCAAAACATTCCTTTTTTCTTCACAACTTGTTTATCTCAGGTATTCTTTGATGAAAGCTGACTAATAATCTATGACCCATTTATTTTCTCCCCTAAGAAAAATTACTTACCACAGTTCATTAAAACCAAACAAAAAACCAGATAGGCTAGTATGTCTATCAATAAAGACCTGGATAAAGGAAAAAAAAAAAAAACATTTAAAACCAGAAGCGCCTCCGTGCAACAGCACATTACATGGCTGACCAGAAAACCTGATACACAAAGACTCACACACTAAGAGAACAAAGCTCATCTTGGAATTTGAGCGAGTGCCTTTACAGCTGTCCCCCAACATTTTACCTGATAGATTTGTTCACTATTCAGCCTGTCTTACTCCTTATTTATTTAAAATTTCTTAAATATTGGGTACATATGAAATAACACTGATAGAACATATGCAAACCACGTAATTCTGATGTACTCGATACTTTTGTGCTCACCACTAAGAAAAACATCACTAGTTTCAAAGTTCTTTCTGTCCTTCTCAAGCCTTATTTTTCCCCTTCTCTTAGGTGAACATTTTCCTGAATTTTGATTATAGTTCCACATACTTTTCATGTTTAGTTTTGTGCATTTTTGCACTTTATATATGGAACCATATGGAAGGTGATTAGTTTGATCAACACAAAATCATAGCTTCTTATATCAATAATAACCAAATAGAAGATCCTTTCATAGTAGCAACAAAAGTTAGTCTACCAACAAATAAACCAAAGTGACAAGCTATATGTTTCACATGGAACAAAATTTGAAACGTCCCTTGATTGGCTGCCATGAAGATAATATGACCATTCAGTCCTAAATAAGCTTGCATTTCCTGAGAGTAAATATTTTATGGCAAGCTCACACTAAGTTACTAGCTTAATGTGCTAGTTACTAGCTTGGAAGAAATGTCCTCACCAGGACATCTGAAAATTTCAGTATTCCAATGCTGTCATACCCATGGGACACATTACCTGCATAAGAGTTCCCTGGAGGTATTTATTGAAATACTTGCTGCAGCACTAACCCCAAGAGACTCCAAATCAATCCTTCTGGGTGGATATATTCACCTGCATTTTAAATTGGAAAAACTCTGCTTCAGCCCAAAGGAAAGAATCTCGAATGGTAGCATCTCAGTTTTTTGTCTGTTTGTTTTTTTCTGAAGCTCAGAAGAGAGATTTCTCAGGAGTGAAAAGTTCTCTGGCAGTATTCAGACCACATCAGGATCATGGGCATATCAGGTGTTTACTTGGGGCCCTAACAATGATCTCTGCCTAGAGGACTGCTTTTGTACCTGGTGCTTGTACATAGTTATATAGAAAGGGTCTAAAGGGATACACCCTACATTGTATGCCCTTTGTACCTTCTCTGAGTTCTTCCTTATGTTTTGTGAGTTTGGAACTGTCATGATCAGAACTTAACATTCTCCAAAGTTCTTGTGCTGAGATCCTCACTCCTACATGGATGCTACTAGGAGGAGAGGACAGTGAGAAAATGCCACATGTGAGAAAGCAAGCCCTCATCAGACGTGGACTTGCTGACATCTTTATTTTGGACTTCCAACTTCTAGAAAGATGATAAACAAATTTGTGCTGTGTGTTAGCCACCAGCTCATGGTATTTTGTTGTTGGTATTATTTATGGTATTTTGTAGTCTGAGCAGACAAAGTCAGGAAGGAAGGTCACAATTGAGTGGAGAGTGGGTTCAAAGACAAGGGGGCCTATAGCACAGGATCTGAGAACGACGTGCTTACTTCATGGTTGGTCAGTGGTGAGCTGGCTATGGATGAAGCAGAGCAGAAGACTACAGCGGAAACCATGACACCCACCCCACCATAATTTTGGGCTTCTTCCAAAACCATTTCACGCCTGTATGTGGATGCAGTAGACTGAATGGTGGATATAAGTAAGCTGCAGGAGGCTCTTGCCACATACTAGAACCTGACTGAGTGGTCATTCCTGAACCTTTAGCCTGTGCCTTTGAATTCACTGCCTTCAGCCATATGGGAGGATTTGAAGGTCATCTGTACCCAGGGCTGTCTTTTTTCCTCTATGGACTTTACCATGCAGTACTCCTCTCCAGGGCTTTGATACACAACTGCCCTGTCCAGTATCCATCATGCCATCCTTGGAAGAAAGGAAGATGGGCATGGCTGAGGCAAATGTACTATATTGGCTTCCTGAAGATGCTGAGCGCCTGCATTGCAGTAGCTCAAGAGCTCCATAGCATTCAGGGACGGCTGGTACTTATCAGCAAGGTATATCATCAGAGAAACTTTATGTACCGCAAACAGTGGCAGCATCTTACTCTCTACATGACGTTTTTTCTGAGTGGATGTTTAGACGTGGTGAGTCAAAACCTGCTGCCTCACAGGTGCGCCGCACTAGAGCAAGGTGCCCAAGCCCTGGGCACATTTATAAACCTGCCTCTGATGCTGTCTCACATGCAGGACACAGAAGGAGTGGAGCTGCAGTCTCACATGCTGCTCACTCAGGCCATGTTCCTGCTGACCCTGGTGGTGACCACAGAGCTGTGGGCTCCCAGCGATACACTAATCTGGATGATGAAAGCCTTTTTGTATATGATCATAGGCTCTTGGCTGATGCAAATAGGCTTTATGCTGTACAAACCCATCTCGGGCTACAAATGGATGGATGATGACAAAAATGACATAGAGTTCACCACCACTTTCTTCTGCTGGCATGTGTTGTTTAATGCCATTTTGATGATCTGGATCTATAGCTTCTCTTTTGTGTGGCATCGCTATATTTTTGTCAATGCCTGAACTCAGATGTATTCCAAGTTTTTCCCTGTTGCTTGCATACTCCAGATCAGCTGGAAGAGAAGCTCTCAGAGGTGAGTGCTCAGAGAGCGGGATCAGGCATGCTGTATTCTGAGGTCTGGCCTGGGACCGCAGACTCCATTATCCTCTCAGGTTCTAGGTCTCTTCTGCATTCATATGAAAGTGGACTGTTATTTTGACTTTATAGCATTCATAGAACTGTTTTTAAGTTCTCCCCTTTGATCACCCTGTGACCTGTCAAATGCAAAATCAGAGCTTTGGAGAAAGTTTCTTCCTCTGAGGATCTAGTAGACCAGAGCAGCCCTGTACATAGGGAGGGATCCCAGGGCTTATCTACCTCCAGGGCTTCCCCGAATGCAGATTCTTCTCCTAGGCAAGCGGTGCATTGAACTTCACACTTCAGAATCAAATTCCATGTAAGTAGGCTTGCCTGGACCCACTTTTTTTTGGTTCTTCTGTATGATAAAGTGTTATGGCTTATTTATTCTCCATATGTTTCTTTTTAATCCTCACAACTATCCTTTATAGGTGGGTAAAACTCACAGGGGTAAAGAAAGTGGCTTATGGTAGCAAGATATTTTTTATTTGTCACATAAGATTATACCTGGATGTCAAGGGGTGGAATTCTGAGTAGAGTCAAATTATCAGACATGCTAGGATAGGAAAAGTCTATTAAAAAGTTCTCTTTCTTGAGAATAAAACATCTCGTTAGGATACAGAGGGACTGGGGCAAGGATTCTAGAGGATAATCATCCTTCTTACTCCTTTTTATGTTCTAGCTCTTGGGATAACTAAATGTACTCTGTAGTTCTAGATCTATCTTTCCTTTCTAATTTGCTTGTTCAAAAGTTAAGAAGCCTGGGGATTTAACTCAGCAGCATAAGTGCCTGCCTTCCAAGTGTTAGGTCGTGAGTTCGATCCCTGATACCAAAAACAACAACAACAACAAAAGTTAAGAGCCAGGCATGGTGGTGTACACCTATAATCCTGGTACTCTGGGAGATTTAGGCAAGAGGACTGCAAGTTGGAGTGACTTCGTGAGACTCTGTCTCAAAATAGGAACAAAACAAAACAACAACAACAAAAAAAACCCTAACTGGGCTGAAACTCCTGTACTGAAAAAAATTTAAGGTAGTTTTCTGGTTGTCAAGGATCTTTGCCTTCTGGTTTGGAGGAAGGGGTCATGCTAGATTTCTGAGTTTTGCAGAGGAGAGCCGTGTTTCCTAGAATAATTTAGATGAGGCTCAACCAACATGTGATGAGCTCCTGCGGACAACTCACACCTGAACCAGTGGGAGCATCAGCTGGAAATGCTTCTCTGCACTGGAGATGGACAGCAGTGCCTACAGGGGAATAAAATAAGCTCAGCCTCCTTGTGCTCCCTTGGTCCCGAGGACTGGATCGACAGAGCTCTAGAGTGTTCCCTGCAGGCTCTGCCCCTTTCCTAGTTCACCTGTGGGTCGTAGCCATGCTTCTCCTCCACACCTCGGATGCTGTTTCTGACCTTGGTTCAGCCTGTGGCTCCTCCTGCCCTGGCCTGGCTGAGCTTTCCTTTAGAGTCTTGGCATTGGCGTGGTAAGGAGTCTGCTTTTCCTATTGATCTGGGAAAACTGCTGGATACTTCACTCAATCTTCCCTTTTTTATTTTAAGAGTACATTTTGGATTTTTCTTGAATATAAAATAAATGTTTTTTGGTTTTGTTTCTTTATTTTTTGTTGTTGTTATTTGTTTGTTTTTGTTGATGTACAATTTGGGAGGCCATATCTTTGACTAGATAGAAAAGCCCTATACAAGGGCTTGAAGATGAGTTCCAAGTATGAATATTTCAAGACATTATCTCTTTACAAATTATCTCTAAAAATGAGAGATAGCAGAGCCTGTTGTTTTTCCTGAAGTGTGTGCCATTTTAAGTGTATGGGTGTGTGTGTATGTGTGTCTTACTGGGTTTGAACCCAGGGCCTTTGCACTGAGCTACATCTCAGCTCTTTTTTAAAAAAATTTTGAGACAAGGCCTCACTGCATCACTAAAGTGCCAAGTCTGGGTTTGAACTTGCAATCCTCTTGCCTAAAAGGATGCTGGGATTACCCATGAGCACCACCACAATTGGTTACTTGGGGTACTTATGAAGTTCTGTTAATTACTGATACACTCACATCTTTTCAAAAATTAAGGCCTTCAAATGTTATTATCTCACCTGGGTGAGATAATAAGTAGCAGGAGAGACCTACATAGAATTAAAGCCAAGGCCTGATAGAACAGGTGGGCCTGCTGTGTGGACGATGAATTTTTCTTCCCTCATTCTGTAATAATAGATATGGGCACTCTGGTGGTAATCTTGATCACTTTGCAAAGTATATAAAGCCAACTGAGGATAAATCTGGGGGAAAATAAAAACTCCAGGTTAGAGTAATTTTGGGGAAGAGGATGTAATCTTCACGCTCATCCACCAGAGGGCACCATCTTCACATCAGCCTGCGAAAAAAACTTCCTTTGGAATTTAGAAGAAATGAAGGCCAATCAGGAAAAAGAGCCGGAGAAACAGGTACAAAGATGTTGTCCAAGCAGCCAGTAAGCATTAACTGGATCTGTGTGCTGTCACACTTAGAGGTGTGGACATGAATAAACACAGAATACAATCTACGATACAGAAATTGTGTGTGTGCACCTCAAAAATCTCTTGGCCACCGAGAATCTGGCCACTCATCCTATTTGGGATGAAAAGTCATTGTGGGAAGATCGTCTACTCTAGAGGCCAGAGAGAATGACAGCTCCTCTCCTGGCCCTGGCAATAAGGATTTGGACATGGACAACTGCCCTAGACCCTCCTACCAGAACTTTTCATGTCGGAGAGGTAACATGGAAGCTGAGGGCCAAAGAGGTTATGCATGTTTGTACCTAAGACGGTAAATACTCAGCAGTGAGCTAGCAACAGTGGCACAGTGAGGACAGTCACAAGTGCCAACAGCATATGCTATTGCTGCAAATGGACTTTGATGTCTATGGGAGAGGGCATGAATCACCAAAAACAAAGTAAGTGTGGTCATTATAGCAGGCAATGTGAATATCAGAACAGTCATACACACAGGTTACCGTAGTGGTCATTAATCACGAAATCTTTTGAGAAAAAGACGAGTGAGCACTCCAGGCAGATTCCACTGGGAAAATATGCTCTGCAGTGGTAGGTGTTTGTTTTATCCATTGATGGATCTAAAACATCTAGAAAATTTCTGTCACATCGCAGTACTCACTAAATATTTGCTGCTGAATGAATTAATAAGTAGAAAGCTCAAATAAGTCACCATGGTACAGAATTAGGGCCCTCATTCTTTTGTTTTTCCCTGAGCTACCACTGAACCCTGGGCCTCCCGTGTGGAGGCAAACACTCTGTCACTGAGCTACATGCCCAACCCAGGAACTGTTAAATGAAAAGAAAACCCTTTTGTCACTAGGAAGAAGCTTGCAATATTTTTGCAAGTGTTAACTGTGAATCTTCTTCCTAACATTTACCAAAAAGACTTGCTGCCATTTCCATGGTAACTATGCATTAGGGTAAAAGAGTTGCCCAGAGCTTTGGGAAATTATTTCAACCTGTTCTGATCTACCACACCCCCAGCAAACATTAGAGCTGAGATGTGAAGTGAGGTCTATCTAATTTATAAAATAGTACTTCCTATATTCTGAAGACAATCATTATCTAGGGTGATTGCAAAATATTCAAACTCCTGAGCCCCACTGCAGCCCTTCTAATGACACTAACCAAGGGGATGACTTGGTGGTTTATATTTTCCACAAATGCATAATGCATTGCTTTTATCATACAAGTTGAAGAGAGAAATCTGGTGCTTTTCTTTTGGGAGCTAGAAGGTCTTGAAAAAGTCAGGTGTGCAACCATCATGCATGTCAAGCATCTGGTCACGAAGCAGGATTCTAATTCTCAGCATTGCTGGTGTGACTCCCATTTGTTGATGACTCTAACAGTGAGCCTTTTTGAGGTACAGGGAAGGTGATAGGGAGCAAACAGGCCTGGAGCAGAGCTTTACACAGTTTGGGTGAAGACTGTTCTGAAACTACACTGTTTTGAGGAATATGAGGTTATATCACTACTGTGTATGGCACTGGTCTTGGAAGAGACTGCAATCCTGTTTCTTTTGCTCAGGTTGTGACAGCAAAGGACTTAATATTCCAAGGATTAAAATGAAATGGAACCATCCAGATCTTTACCTTGAACTCTCTTAAGATATGTGTGTTGCACTGACTAGTGAGTTCATAACACACAGCAAGCTACATGCTCATTTTGGGACACATAAAATACCAAGAAGTAAAAAAAATCACTAAAATAACTTTAGCAATATCTGGTTTTCACATATACTAAACGAAATACAGCATTGTTTCCAAAAGTAAATGATATTTTATCTGCAATTCATTATCAACAGCATTCCTTCCAACTTTCAAAGTTCTTTCTTTCCATGGCACAGTGTTCATTAGGTCTTATAAGCTCTCCAACAACCCTGGGAATTTTAAATTCTCTAAATTCTACCACTAGGTGTGACACTGAATTAATTTTTTTTTTACGAGTTAAGAGAATTTGTTAGGCAGCTTTCCAACTCTGTGACAAAATATCTGAGGATAACAACTTAAAAGAGAAACGGTTCATTTTGCCTCATGGTCCTGTCTCAGTCCCTGCTCTGCTGACTCCATTGCTTGTAAACCTTAGTGAGGCAGAAACTGAGGCAGAAGGCTGTGGTGGAGAAAATCTGCTCACCTCATGGTGGTCATGAAGGAGAAAGAAAGGAAGAAGAAGAGACACAGAAATGAGAGAGAAAGAAGAAGGACAAGGAGAGGAAGAGAGAGGAGAGAACAAAGGAGAGAGAAGATACTCAGGACAGGTCTCTCTGCAGACTGCTGGCTCACATGCCAGTCATGTCTGGAATAACTCTCAAAGACACTCCGAGAAGCACATTTACTAATTTCCTAGGCATTTCTCAAACCAGTCAAGTTGATCAAGGCTGCCTGTCATGTTCTTAGCTAAATTTTTAAGAGTTACAGGAGGAAAGATGCTCTTTAAAACAAACTTCCTATCAAAAGAGGACAAGAGAAATAAAAAGCTGAACAAAAACAAGTGCGTGACAACCTTTCAAAGAGGGAATCGAGTTCTTTGGATCTTGATGTTTTAAGCAGACAGAAAATCCAGGAGACAATGCTTACTAAAATCACATGAAACGTAGCTGTGTTTGGTGGAGCAGATCTGTAATCCCTGCTAATCAGAAGGCTGAGATGGGATGTTTGTGAGTTTGAGACCAAGTTGGCCAATTTAGTGAGACCCCGACTCAAAAAAATCACATCAAATGTAATAGTTTGTGTCTTGTTAGCTGAGTTTAACTATTCAAAATGTCTTCAGAGGTCAGGAAAGGAGTCATGAAGTAATGAAACAATCTTAGTCACGTTTAGAATATGTCAATGTACACAAAATAGTATGAACTAAGTATGGGATGAATCCAGTATATTCGAGAGTGGTATATTCAAGAGTCGTACATTCAAGATGCCCCAGGAGCCCAGATCAGGCGTCTCCAGAATGAGATCTACACCAGAGATGCGTAGACAATGCCTGTGGAATGTGGAATCCTTCACAGATGGGACTGTGCGTTCCTAAGGGGTAAGCTTCTATTGACTAGAGCTTAATTCTACTCCTAAAAATTGCAGTGGCAGGAAGACCATGGCAATATGAGCCACGCTGGTGAGTTTCTGAGAGGGATTTCTCCAAGGGCTTGAGCCCTCAGGGCAAACCACATGCCTTCTCAGCATTAAGTTGTAGCAAGCCATTCAGGGGAACCTGTTGCTTAAGTCACTAATGTACTTTGTTTCATTTTCTCCTTCTCTTTCTTCCCCTCCCAGATCTTTCTCTCTTTCTCCTGCCACCAGGATAGAACAATGCTGCGTCCAACACCAAAGAGATGCAATGCTGCATCTCTTGCCAACTAAGGCAAGAGAGAGGAAGTCCAATGTAGGCTGGGCCTCCGTGGGCCTTTCCTCCTCCCAGGGGAAGGCTAGCATGGGGCTTGGGGTTACCCAGTGACTTCTTTTCTTGATGAGTCGATATTATTATGGTGTGAAATGAGTGCTGACTCCCCAAAGTAGTAGAAAGTTTGGAGGCAGAAAAGGTGGGAATGGTAAAAACAGGAATGAAGAAATGGTAAGCTGGAGCAAAGGAAACTGTGGGGAGCCTTGCTCCCACATCTCACTGCTACGGTCTTACCAATGGCCAGTCCGATCATAGCCAGTCCCCTTGCTGCCAGAAGTATTCAGAGAAATGGAAATTAATCAGCTAGGAGATTTCTGCTAAGCCCATTTCCTGTGCTCAAGTGGTCTCTATAATAAGCACATTCATTCCAAAAATCCATGTCAGGTTCTATAAATGACATACAAAACCGTCAAAGATTAAATAATACTGAAAAAAAGCTTTGTGTTAACATCTATTTTTCTTTCTTTGTAAGAATCTTTTTTGTCAATGTCTTATACTCTGAGTAACTACTTTGAAGGTAATGATACTCAGTGTATTAACTATTGGTGTTCTATTATTATTATTTTGTGTGAGGTGGATCTGGAATTGAACTCATGATCTTGTGCTTTCCAGGTAGGCGCTTACATCACTGAGCTAAATCCCCGGCCCTCTCTCATTATTTTGTTATGAAATTTTTGTTTCTTTTTTATAAAGTAGAAAGGTAATCTGTTGTAAGAACAATTCATCTAGCATGTACAGATCTTAGAAAATGTACAAATACTTTGAAAGTTTAGGATAAAAAGGATGAAAAGACAATGCCCTCCTCCCACAGACCTCAGTCTGGAAGGAAGGTATACACACTAAAGAAGGAAGACAACAAAATGTGTTTATTCTGTTATCAAAGTTGAGCAAGCTATTACAAGGAAGCAATGAATTATCCACCTTGTAATAGATTCAGTTGTTCTTGGTTCACCAAGATTATATATAAACAAGTTCTTGACAGATAACTAGTAATTTCTGAAGCCAATTGGTGTTGAGAGGATATTCCAAGCAATGGTACAGAAATGACATTGGAAGACGAGATTGCCTTGAGAGTATGCTGATTATTCTTAAAATGGAAAATGCCTTAGTTTTGGCTTGAAAACATGAGATAGCTTTGTATAAAGCAGTAGGAAAGCCTAGAATGCAAAACCAGATAGTGTGGAGCTGTAGGGACTGTACTAGGGAATTTGGACTTTACCTTGTAAGACACAGAGGACATCTTTGAAGAATTTTAACAATGACAACACCGATATATTATGAAGGTAGTGTGCAGAGGGTACTTAGAAGGGACAAGAGATTGAAACTAGGTAGACCTTTTAAGAAGCTGATGTAGTGGTCTAGTAAAGAGATAAAAGGAATCTGATATAAGAGAGTAACAATAATCTCTTGGCCTTTTGGCTAAGGTCAAGTGTAATAAAAGAGTTACAGTGTATGGACAGGGAAGAGAAGACAGATTCCAGAAATACATACCAGGCGAGAAACTACCTGGTAGGAGGCAGAGAAGGGAGAAATACCAAGGAGGGAGAGTTGAAGCTCAGTTTTCTGGGTAAGACAATGGAATGAGTGATGTTTCCACTAACTGAGATTGGGGTTACAGAAAAAAGAGCATGTTGGGGGGCCTTGGCGGTGCTGACCATGTTGACATGGAAGCACTTGGTGTGTGTGCATAGAGACGTCTTGTGGCTCACTGAGTATTTAAAACTAAAGCCAAAACAAGAAGTTGAACTGAAAACACAGATTTGGCACACATCTATGTGTCACAGATTAATTAGGTAAGGGAATGCTTATAAAAAGAGGAGCAGAGGGCTGGTGAGGGATGCAGAAAACACACACACGTGAGAAAAATTTGCAACACTAGACTGAAAGAAAATATCTGTGGAACAGAAGCTAAGAATGACACCAACTCTGCTTTCAAAGTAGTGTTTGTGTTTGCTCCTACTTCTGTTATTAAAGAAAAATGACCACCTGGTGTCACCAGGAAAAGTGATTTAAAAAATCATTGCTTAGTTTTCTTATTTAATCAAAACTGTACACTAGTGATTGTGAGTGATATTCACTGTCCTTATCATGCACTTGACTAGACTGAGAGACAGCCCTAGTAAGCACAATTTAGGTTCATTTTATAGTCATTTATTATAAACCGGGATAAACGCTGGGTAATTGGGTAATTACTTTGTTAGTCACTAGTGGAGCATTGTACTTTAACCAGCACAGACAGTGAATGGGAATAAATTTAGAGGGGCAACCTGGTACACTTGAGGCTCTATCCTTGCTTTCTGACCTTCCACATTTACATCTTCAGGGTAATTTGGGTAAAGCAATGATCAAACTGAGAAGGATGATAAATACATTGTATGACCAGATCAATGTCCAAGAAGCTCTTGCCAGGCTTTAATGCTGGGCCCAAACTAAATTGTTCCAATTTGACCAGAGTATATAAAAATCCCTGCCCTTGGTTCCTAAAAAGTAGCACATAAAGTATTGTAGAGTTTACTGTATAATGTGAGAGCATCCAAAGCTAACTCCATTTCAGGTCACACCAATAAGGTGCAATTTTGATAATGAGAAAACTAAACAATGTCCTCCATCACTTTTCCTGAAGACACCAGGTGCTTAGCGTATTTCATAATAGAATGTGTAATATAGGCCATAGTCCTCTGGTGCTCTGCCCTGGGGAGCATTTGCAGTGCTTGGGCTGTGGGTGTCCCTCCACTAATGAGAGAGAAGCCAGATGGAAGGAAGGCCATAAAAAGAACGGCTGAAGTGTTGCTTAGCGACTAGCCAGAGAGGTTGGAGGAAAGCAGAAAGCTGTGATATCTTTGTAAATATTGGAAGCACTCTCTTATGTAAGAGAACTTAAGCAGAAGTCTATTAAACTCAGAGTGAAGAATTTCTAAAAATAGAAAGAAGGTAGAGTGTTCATAGGGAGAAAAAGACATTCTAACCATTTTCTCTCTTCTTAAATAGAATAGGCAGTTCTGTGAGGCAATGAGAGCCCGGACCTGTGTTTAACCACAGTGGGATTGAAAGGGAAGGGCTGGGGAAGGGGAAGCTGGGTTGGATGGACACAAAGGCCACAACCATCCTATGGAAAATGATCTGCTAAATTGCTTCACTTTCTCAACGTGAATGCAGTTCTGCTTATAGGTGCTTTTGTTCACTTTATTTTGTTTTTCTCCTCATATAGAGATCATTGGTTCGACAAATCTTATAATTCTGCTAGAGAATGAAATCTTTGCTGATTTTTTCAACACTTTTCTTTCTCTTCCGGTAAGCATTCTCAAATTTAAATCCAAATGCTTTATTAACAACATAATAATGGAGTTCCGGGAGAACATGGCAGACAGATAGCAGCAGCTATAGAGGCTCTCTGAAAGACCCAGCTTAGAATTCAGGAATGCTGCGGAGTAAGGAATCATAAGCACGTGGAGATATGCCCTGCTGACCCAAGAACGAACTGGGCTGAGAGAAACCAACTGGGAATGCAATCCTGGTGCTATAACAGGAACAGAAAAGCCTCAGTGTGGAAGCTGGAGCCCACGCCATTGGAAGCCGCGATTTGGGTTTCCCGCTGCGCGGTGGCTGCGTCTGCATCGGCTCGGCAGGCAGAGAGACTCGTAGAAGCTCTTAGAACGGGAATCGGCGAACGGAGTTGAAAACAGGATAGGCGGGGAGCTGTGCATTGACTTGCGGTGAGGTGAGTGAGAGAAACTGACACTCTTCCCACGGTTTGGGAGACTCCAACAGAGGACATTCTGGGACCGGGCAGACTTGCGGGAGCAGGGCGCTGCGGCGACTTCAGCCACGTATCCCCCTCTCAAGCGGGATTGGTGAGAAGTGCCTAGCCTATATGACGCTGCTGGCTGAGACCCAGTGGGCTAGCACAGCCCAGATCCCAGAGCCTGAGGGTGACCTGGGAGGGGCTGGCCCCGCATAGGCTGCCTGATCTGCAACTTCCTGGTGCGCTGCGGATGGCGGGAACACCTAGCTGGAAGGAAGCTGGGCCTCCTATATATGCTTACATATATAAGGAACAAAGAATATGGGAAGAGGGAGCAACAAGAAAGGCCTTTCGGCCCCCAATCCTGAGAAACAGGCAATAGCGGACACCGCACCAATAGACATAAAGCGCCATCTAGAAAGCCTCATAGATGAGTTCAGGAATGAAGTTATTAATGACCTGAAGCTAGAAATAAGCAGAATAGTTAGAGAAATGCTAAGCACCACCCAAGAAAAAACAGATGGTGGAATGGAAGAACAGAAAAAGAGGGGAGAATTGTTTGATGGAGATAACAGAGAAAGCATAGAATACGTGAAGCAGGTTCAAAGAGACTACCAGGAAACTAAAAACTCTATCGAAAACTGGCATAACAGCTTGAAAGAAACTAAGGACAGACTATCTGAACTGGAGGGCAGATTTGTAATATGGGAGAATGAAATGAAAAACTTCTTAAAAGTAACAAACAAACAGCAATAATACAAAGACTAGAAGATGATAAGAGGATCCATAACTTAAGAATTAAGAACATAAAGAAGAAGTAGGGACACAAACACATGAACTACAAAAGCTACTCACAGAAATAATCCAGGAGAATTTTCCTAATTTAGCAAAAGGTAAAGATCTCAGTTGTATGAAGCGTACAGGACCCCAGCCACCTACAACCCAAACAGAGCAACACCCAGGCATATAATAATTAAAATTCCAGAAATTCAATACAAGAACAGAATATTAAAAGCTGTCAGAGACAAGAAACAGACCACTTACAAGGGAACACCCATCAGAATTACAGCAGATTTCTCTGCACAAACCATCAAATCATGAAGAGCCATGGGGGAAAATAATTCAAGCTTTGAAAGATAATAATCTCCAGCCAAGATTGATATATCCTGCACAACTATCCCTGGAAATTGGTGGAAAAACAAGGTGCTTCCAGGATAAAGAGGAACTAGGGGAATATGCAACCACCAATTCAACTCTACAGAGAATACTACAGGATATTCTAAAAAAAGAAAAATATGAAGAATCCAGAAATAGTGGCAGAGAGGCCACAATGAATGGAGCAGAAAACAAAATGAAGAAGACAAACTGACAACTAATGACAGAAAAAGAGCTCAACAGAAATGAGGCAGAGAAGATTGGATGATAGGAACAGCTATTTTGGAGAAAATGACATCTTAATAGGTAATACTGATTTAGTATCATCTTGTTTTGAAGTCTCATCAAGCTTTTGTTCTTCTGTCTCCATTGGTCTAAACAGGTTGTATCATATTGGATTTTATTATGTATGATAGTATAAGCAAAAACTTTTAAAGACAAGGAGATTATACAGAAACCATTGTTCGTTTTCTGTTGGTTGATTCTAAATACCCTGTAATACTGTCATTCTCTTAAATGGTTTTACATTGTTTTGATATATTTGATGCTACAGTATACGAAGTTATACTCAAAGATTTCAAGGAAAGAGACAATATGGTAACTACTTTTATGTCAGGATTATCTTGTGGTGAAACACTATTCTGCTTAAATGGTTATGTTTTGATCTGTGCTGTTTTGCTGTTATGCCCTCTTTTATCTCAATCTCCACTTCATTATTTACTTTTTTATTTTTATCCTTTTAATTAAGGAAAAAATAAATAAAAAATAGCAGGATATATTATAGTAACCCACTTTGACTTTCCATTATCTTGATTTAAAGCCCCATATTACTCTCACCATCTTTTTTTTGACTGATGTTCCCCTATTCCATTTTGCTTGATAGTACCAGGTTCGAAAGTTTAAACAACAGCTGTGAAGATAGTGAGATTCATTATAACGCCCATTCTTGTTGACTATTATCTACTTTTGAAGAACTATAATGTCTCCAATGTTTTGGTTTTGTTGGTTTTGTTCTTTACTGTTTTGTTCAGTTTTATTATAACTGATGATATAGGCAATTCTATTAGAGATAGCAGGAGACATTATGGTAACCATAATGTATTATGCTTTTACATTATCTATTATGTCCACCCTTTTGATTTGATTGACTCTGTTCTGTTACGTCACATTTGGTTCTACTCCCTTCCAAAAAAGTAATAAGAACTGTGGGAGCAACAAAACCCAAAATGTGTACTTGTCATTGTACAAAAGAGAGGAAAAGAAAGTGCTCTAAACGATATAACTGCATGTATATATAAGTGTATAAGATAGGTAATGATATCACTGAGTTTTGTTGGATCATTGAACAGAACTATTTGCAGTCTCACTGTTGGAATGTCCACTTTACAAGCTTTAATTTTGTGACTTGAACAATTATTTCTAAGATGGCAATATGTAATCCATTAACTAGTGATTTCCTACTGTTTATTTTTTTCTGTAAATCTGTATAACTTGTACCCTTTCTCTGCTTTTTTTTCTCCTTAAATAAAATTTTTTTAAAAAAACAACATAATAATGAATCTCACTGAGTTCAGTGCCCTTTTCTGGTTTTTGTTTGTTTGTTTTGCTTTATTTTCATTGTTACTGAATTCCTTATCAAACAAAAAACTATCCATTTGGGCAAATAGATATGAACCAGAGCCACCTCTAAGATCTCCAGAAGCTTCCAGTTGTTAATACAGTTAAACCCTACGTCCCTGCCTCCCTTAGCTGCTCCTGCCTGTCGAGTTACTTCCTGTCACACCATCTGTCGATACCCAGTGCTTTGGTGACTGCAACTTTCCCATCACCAGTGCACCTGCCGCTGCTGCCGCTGCTGCCCCTACCTTCTGACAGCTCCTCGGGCTCTTTGCTGTCTACCTCGATCATCTTCCTCATAATTTCACCTGCCGTCTTAACTATTCTTCAAATTCTTGCACAAAATTTTTTCTTCTTAAGAAATTCCTAGTTTTTCACAATAGGAACTTCATCATTGGAATCTCTCCCCGCCCCCCCCCCCTCTCGTGTGTGTGTCTTGCTGGACTCTGAAATTGCAAATTCTCGTAGAACAAGGGCTTGAATTATTCATTTTGTTCCCTTTCATTTACCAGGCATTAGCACATAGTAATTATTAAGCTGTTAGCTGGAATAAAATCTATGTATTTTCTTAATCTCTGAAACACAAATCTCAAACATCAGAATACATTTAAACCCAAGCCTCAGCTGAGCTTACGTCTTTTTAGGTTTAAATGTTGGTACCTTATAGATGGTGACTCCCTTTGGTGCTTCTGTACACTACTTTCCCATGGGATTTTTGCCTGTTAAAAGGTGAAATTTCAGCGAGGAGGAAAACCACCATACCACCTCACAAACAGTTGCTAGATCTTCATGTTGTGCTGGCACTGGGCTCAGGGTAGGAATGCATATATTAAGGATGCCACCGCTGTTCTTGAGGAATTTCCATTCTGATATGAAAGTCTAACACTTTTTATTTTAAAGAGAATAAAACCAAGCAAAAACATAATAAAGCCAATCAAAACAAAACAATGAAAGCAATATAGGACTTCAACACAAGATAGTAGGAAATCATCAATGGCTACCACAATAAATCTTGATATCTTCAAAATAGCTGCCTATACCATCAGACACAATAAAATCAAAGCAAAACAGAATAAAACCAAACCAAACAAAACAATGAAAATGATACAGGACTTAAAAACAAGGCAATAGGAAATTAAATTGGCTACCATAATGCCTCATGTTATCTTCAAAATAGCTATCCAGACTATCAGACATAGGCATGTAAAGTTAACTGAACAGTGCAAGAACTAAATCGTTTCCTTAGTTCAGTTTGTTGTCTTTTCAGAAATTTCAGGCATGTGCCTTCTAATTTCTACTATATCTCTGTCTCCTCAACTTGTCCTGTGTAGGCTGGAAGTCTGAGATTGCATTTTGCTCCTTCTGCTTGACATTCCAATGTTCCTCTGAATCAGCCCACTATTGCATCCTCAGTGTTTCCTGTACTGGCTGCCAGTCCCTAGGTGTGGTGGACTGGTCTAGGCTCCTAGATTGCTCCAACCTGGGGTTCCTCCAATCCAGGGTTCCTGAAGTACTGGGACAGTGGTTCACTAATGCTGCCTTGATACCAGCAGGGCCTCAGAGCATGGCTTCTGCTCTGGCTGTGTTGAGCTTGCCCTGTTCCCTCCAGGCCACTGGTGCAGAGCCTTAATGGATAGCATGACAGAAATTTCAGGAAGGCAGTTGGTAATGCAGTACACTGGAGGGAGAAGTCATTCCTTCCTGGAAGAATCAGGAGAAGCTGACGTAAACCAAATTTTAAAAGAATAGGAGATATCCGAGAAATAACTGTCTAGTTAGTTAGGAAGTATGGGAAGAATGACGGGTAAAGAAGTAGCAGGAAAAGACTAGGATTTAAATAGCAAGAAACGCAAATCTTTACATACACCCAAGTAAGAGAAAGTAAAGTGCTGCCAGCCAACAGGATTTTTAAAAGAAAGAAAAATTACCTATCGAATTTTGATATTGTTAAATCTTCCACATGTAATTTGTATACATTATCTTTAGTCCTTGGTCCTTTCAAAGGTTGCATAATCGCAAAGCAATTTCATATTAGGAAAACATTTTAGACCTTTGTTTTAACTAAGTCCATTGGGAAAGTGAATAATGTAATACACAAAGTAAATATAAAATCAAGAGCTTTGTCTTTTGCAAGCAAGATAGCTCCCCGGTATAGGCAGAGTGGAGCCACAATTTAAATGAACCTTGCAATTCAGTCTATTTGGAGTATTTTTGTGCAGGTATGACTGATCTGGTGGAATAAATTTTTATTATTAAATGTTTGCATAAATCGTGATTATATTGATGAACTAAATTTAAGAACATCCCTTAAAACAACAAAGCAATGGAACATTTCTTGGTGACTGCAGGTGTACTGTGATGTGTACATGAAGGAAAACTGTTCTTTGTTGGCTATTTGTCTCTGTCTTTTGCAGGTCTTTGGTCAGACACCATCCTATACTGTTGAAAACTCACAGTGGACACTGTGGCCAGAACTACCTTATAACTTGGTAAGTTCAGGATTCTTGAATGGCAGGTGATTTGGGAAGGAGGATGAGAGAGTTAAATTTGAAGCATGAACTGAGAGAGGGAAAAGACCAAGCCCAGAGAAACTACAGGAAAGAAACTATAAAGCAGTTGAGTAGAATAAATAATATAAACTATGAGGGGATTTTTTTTTACATTTTTACCTTGGGCAAGAAATTGTTGAATTATTTCCTTTATACTCTGTCATAGCACATAAAATACATTCCTTGCATCTACTGTGATTAGTGGATAGTAGATATGTACTTGGAGAACACTGCTGCATAAAACTTTGAGACCCCTTTTAAGCAGGAAAGAGTCTGAAATCTGATTTACAGTGTCTGTCATGGAAATGGCAGTCCATGAGCCGCACAGTTATGATCAGATATGTATTATCAGATGTAGGTCAAGGTAAGATGCCACTCTGAAGTTTTTGATGATGAGTTACCAGTGTCTTTCAGAGACATGTATTTTGTTTAATCTCTTGTTACATGTTTCTTTTTCTTTTGTTCATTGTCTTTCTTTTCTCTTTTTGCCCCTTCCCTGTGTCTCCTACTTTTTTCGTTGCTGAGACAAAATACCAGACACCCAAAGTTAAACCACGGAAGTTTTAGTTTAGCTCACAGTGTGTAGATGTTTCAGTCCATAGTTGGCTGGCTCCAAGGTAGGGTGGTAGAACAGAGGGGCATCACAGAGAAGAAACATCCATAGTTAGCAGAAGGTAGCCAATGGAAAAGCAGCAGGATCCTTTTTTTGTAGTGTCATCCAAAACTATGTTAATTCCAGTCTGTAGATTCATATAGTACTGCACACCCCTAATCCCAGTATCTATGATCCAGCCAGCTCTCAAAAGTCCTCCCCCATGACTGAATGAGGTTTTAGGGGGACAGCTAGATATAAGCCATAACACATCAATCACCTCCACATGCCCTTCCACTGGTATGTGAAATCAGAGCCACTGGTGCAGCTTAATCCCTTAATCACAGTAAGATTTTGTTTTCCTCTGAGTTCTAGAAAGCTAACAAGATATACCCTGTTCCAGTTCTTTTACATATCTGACTTCCCTAGGGTAGCTCTGAAACTTCGAGTTTTTAATATTTTTCTCCTTTCTCTTGTGGCTTGATTCCAGTGGGATCCAACTTATTCTCTAAATAATAGTAGGTGTCTTTGTGTGCCTTTTTCAGATTGCATTGATATAGGTTGGGGACTTGTGAGAATTTATGTGTATATAAAAAGAAGCAAGTTGAATAAAGCTATGAGCTGACACCATAGATCATAAATTTTTCTGTTTATCTTCTGTTAAGCAAAATTTTAAGCTTTTTTAAAACAAATTCACCAAAGAATAAAAAAGAATTTTCCAAAAAAGACCAATATTTTTACTTCTTACCGATTAATTTACTTCTTTGGGAGGCTCATTTGAAATCCTTACTCTCCTTAGATACTATTTTTAAACAGCACATTTCTCCTTCCTCCAGACAGTACAAGTGTGAGATTATTTGTTGGCCATTATTAAGTTGTATTTCTTAACAGTTCAGTTCAATTTATCTCTGTGTTGCGATTTTATTTTTGAACTCTAGATTTCCAAATACAAAGGATTATTGACCTGGTTGGAAAAATATCGATTACCTTTCTTCTGTAAAACAAATTTGTGTCTCCATTACATCCTTTGTCAAGAACTTGTCACCTTTGCTAGGTCTCCAGAAGGAGGTAAGTGTGTGTGTTTGTGTATGTAGAAAAATAGAAAACCATACTACACAATGATATCCTCAGTCCTATAGGAAGATACTCCTGTATATGGAAATACAGGAATATTGGAAATAATACAGGAGTATTTCCTTTACAGGAGTAATGGAAATAATATCTCCTTTTGTAGATGTATAAGTGGCTTAGTCCACTTTGCAGCAATTTTTCTTAAGATGAAAAATTTGTTTCTGAAGTAATAATTGGGAGTCATATAGGGAAGGCCATTTATCCCACTATAGCCAGAAATTATGTAATTAATGGTAGTCATGGCCTGGTAAAAGTTGCCTAATATGGACTAAGAATCAAGCACATTATACCCCCTTCATTATTACCATTCGGTCCAAAGCACCACTTCTTACCCGGGTGCTGAAATCCCTTAATTACTGTCCTTGCTGTGCTCTTGTTTCCTTGCTCACAGCAGGCAAAAAAGCCTTTAAAACATACTTGGAATACTGGATCATATTAAATTTAAAAGCTTCTACAGAGCAAAGGAAACAACTGACAGAGTGATGATACAGCCTGCAGAATGGAGAAAAATTTTTGCCTGGCATTCCTCAGACAGAGGACTAATAGCTAGAATATGTAAAGAGCTAAAAATAAATAATAAAAACCAACAACAAAACCTTGACTCCCCAAACTAAAAAAAAGAATTCCGTCAAATAATGTAACTAAAAAAGAAATGCAGATGACCAATAAATATATGAAAAAATGCTCAATATCTCTGGTCATTAAAAAATACAAATTTAAAAAAAAGAAATACAAATTAAAGCAACATGGATATTCCATCATACTCCTAAAAGAATGACTGTCATCAAGAAATCAACAAAATTGTAAATGTTGGCAAGTCTTCTGGGAAAAGGGAACCTTTCTACACTGTTGGTGGGAATGTAAGCTAGTACGAGCACTATGAAAATCAATATGGAGAGTCTTCAAAAAGAACTAAAAGTTCTGTTTAACCTAGCTAAGCCTTTTCTAGGTATCTCCCAGAAAGAGTTAAGGACATCATATTACAGTGATACATGCATATTCATGTATATAGCAGCATAATGCACAACAGTTAAGTCTTAAAAGTGACCTATATATGTTCGTCAAGAGATGAATGAATAAAGAAAATGTGGCTTTTATACACAGAGAAGTATTACTCTGTCAAAAAGAATAAAACTGAGTCATTTGTGGGAAAATGTATCCACTGTGAGGCTATATTGTAAAGCAAAATAAATCAGACACACAAGCTTAACTATCGCATGATTTCTCTTATATGAGAAACCCAACATATAAATAAAGAGCAAAATAAAAAATAGATAACATAAAACAGGAAATTTTCTGCAAAAAGGAAGGAGACTGTGGGAAGAGGGACGAAAAAATAGTTAAGATGTGTTGTGTACATGTAAGAATTCCCAATGAGGATTGTAATCATGGTATACTGCAAATGTGTATCAACTAAAATAAAGCATTTTTAAATAGAACAAAAACAGAAAGCATAATTGGGAGAGGGGGCATTCTAAGAAGCTGGTAGAATAGGAAGCATCAAGAATTTGTTTCATACCTAGGCGGCAATTGCATTGGCAGAAGCTTTATGATGTAACTGTTTTTGGAATGCTGGAGTCTCTTGTGGTTTACAACTTTTGGGGAAGGTTTGGACAGTAAATTATACTTGTTTATTACCTCAGCAACCAAAAGGAATGTAGATGAAAACTGTTAAAGGAGTAGTTTCTGCATGTTACTGATGTTTAGTTTGGATAAATTCAAATTAGAATGTTATAAATTTAGGATGTTAAATCTAATCCCCATAGTAACTACAAAAGAAATAAAAAAAAGATTGAGGGTGCAATAAGCAGCTGTACGCCCACAAACTGTGTAACTTATAAAAAAGAATTAATTCCTAAAAACTCAAAACCCACCAGTATCAAATCAAGAAGAAATAGAAAATATGAATAAACTTATAAAGAATAGGGAAATATTAAAAATTTCCTGAAAAGAACCTGGATTTTATGGTTTCACTGGTAAATTCTGCTATACATTTAAACAGCACCAATCCTGGGACTTTTGAAATGTTGAAGAGCAGAAATACTTCCTAACTCATTCTATGAAGCCAAAATTGCCCTGATATCAAAGCCATACGTATACACCATAACAAAAAACAAGAGCTTAATATCCTTCATCAATATTGATGCAACAAATTGCCACGAAATATTAGCAAATAGAATTTAACATCATATTAAAAAGATTGTATATGTTACCAAATGAGATTTAGTCCTGGAATGCAAGAATGATTGACATATAAATATTGATCGATTCAACAACACACCACAGTAACTAAGAAACAAAGAAGCCACATTATTATCTCAGTAGATTCTGGAAGAGCATTTAACAAAATCCAGCATACTTGCATAATTAATGAATTCATTTATCAAGGTAGGAATAGTGGGAAATCACCTCAATGTAATAAAAGCCATATTTAAAAATTCATGATGAACCTTATGCTCAGGGGTAAAACACTGAAAGCTTTTCGTTCCTCTAAGATTAAGCAAAAGGCAAGGGTGCCAGCTTTCACCACTGTTACTCAACAGCACCACCACCACCACCACCACCAATGATTTTTATCTCAGTGCAAAATACAACATCTCTGCATTAACTTGCAATGTTTTGGACGTGGTTCCCCTTCATCTCCTTCTAGTCTCCCACCCCATTCCCATCTTTCCAGCACATTGACTTCCTTGCAGTTTGTCAGACTGCTGGACACTTTATACTTCAGTGTTTCACAGTGGACATTTCTTCTACCTGGAATGTTCTTCCTCCACGTATCTGCACTGCTCCTTCTCTCACTTCCTGTAAGTGCAGATTTTACCTCCTCAATGACCACTACTCTAATGATACTGTTAAATACTCTATCCTCCCCATTCATCCAATCTGTGTCCCTAGCACTTATAATTTCCTTTATCCAATTTTACTTTTAATAGTGCTTATAACCTGTAATTTTATTAGATAACGTACTTAAGTATTGTGCTTGCCCCTACTGTTTGTCTTTCACAATAACTCAAGCTGCTTAGGGACAGAAATTTTTGTTCTGTTTGTTCATGTATCCCAAGAAGTTAGAATGGTACTTGGCACTTGGTAGGCATGTAATAAATATTTGTCAAAAGATGAATAAATAAAATTTCTATCTAGAGTTGAATTGGTAAATGTTGGTTCATTAGATAAAGGAAACTTGATATGTTCTAGCTAGGGCAAAGTTTAGGTTAGGAAACGTGGAATGAAATGTAATATATCCTCCTAATATGCTATTTTCAACTACCTCATAAATATATACATATATTGTTAAAATTGTATTAAAATGCACACTAAAAGCAAAATCATTGTCAGGGGACTCTAGAGAGAAGATGCCTTGATTGTAAGGTATTTTTGAGCTGCAGATCATCACATGTCACTGGGTAGCTCAGTGCCCAGCTCCAAAAACACCAAATAGTCAGGACCTACTCATCTCACTGGCCAAATTTTCCCTCACTTACACTGAGAAAACAGGTCTGGCTGTGTGTAAGGCTGAGAGGGACAGAGGGAAGAGCTCATTCTCTCTCTGATCATGGACTTCTCGTGGCAGCCCAGATGATGAGATGGGAAAAGGCAGACGAGTGGCTACTGGAGAAATGCATTGGTGGAGTCAGAGGGATGTGGCGCTTCTGTTCCTACCTCAAGGGCAGTGCAGGTGGGTTCTTGAAGCTCTTCCTGGGGCATTTGACAGTTTCTTTGATCCTCAGTAACATTGTTTTCTTCAAGGACAGGCTCAAGTTTTGAGGGTGAAACCCTGGATCTCGACGGAGCAGGTAATGGAGAGCTGGACAGATTATGTCTTTCAGTTTGCCATTCCAATTTTGGTCCTGGAGCAATTGTAAGATGGGGAATGTAGCCACTGGCATCTTTTGGCTCCAGAGTCCTGCAGACTTTTCAAGGTCTATGATCTTTTTCCCTTCGTTGTCATTTTTCTGGGAAAACTCAAATATCTCAAAATCTATACTCAGAATCTTGCATGTTCCCCTAAAGTGATAGTTTTTCTAACAACCAGATGACAAGCAAAAAAGCCACAAAGGGCCCTTACCCATTAAGCACCTTCATCCCACATTTCTCATCCTCCTTTAACTTAGAACTGTTCCAGAAATGATATCTTAATCCAAAGTTGTGACTAACGATGATGTTACAACAACAATGATGATACAGCAGGGCGGCTGGTGGGAGGTAGGAGTGGCTTCATACAGACGTAACCGCCAAAGTGGCAGGATGAGGGTGTGACTCTGTGCCTGTCCTGTCTGACATGTAGGTGAAGAACTGGTGGATTTCTGGATCCTTGCTGAGAAGATCCTGAGCATAGATGAGATGGATCTGGAAGTAAGAAACTACTACCTGTCCCTCCTCCTCGTGCTGAAGGCCACCCATCTGCAAGAGGGCTCCAGGGTGGTAACTCTCTGCAACACCAACATCAGTAAGGATCATAGAGCTCATGGGAAGCGAACACATACAGCCCACAAGTCAACACAGTATCTGATAATCTCCAGTCTTTGTTTTTCAGACTGCTGCCCATTCCACCTAGTAGGTGTTAGGGATGCCAGTGGGAATTCCAACCCTTAACTAGAGAAAGGTCATAAGAGACCAAATTTTTAGCCTGGTACTTGCCTCCTGCCAATAAAAATTGGCTGGAAGGAGTAAAGAGAGAATAAGAAAACTGAACATCTTTGATCTCACACGGCTTTATCGTTTTATTACAAAATTGGGATTCTATAGAATAGATTACAGTTCAAGGGTCAAATGCAATACACAGGACCTGTAAGCAAATAACTTTTTAATCTTGAAAGATTAAAAGGGACCACTATGCAACAGAAGTTGTGTATGACTCACAACACTTAAGATATTTATTTAGACAAAAAGTTTGCTGATCTCTTCTCTAGAATACTAATTTCATTCGTTTGTTTGCTAAACGATGTGACATTTCAAACCTGTATTCAAATTTGTTCCAGAAGATCTGTTTTTAGGGATTACACACACTTGTTTTTATTCATATAAATAATTGAGAACTGATAAGTTTAAATTCTGGGCTAAGAAGGATTGACTACTATTTGAAGGTTTTGACTCCTTCAAATTATGCAATCCAAATCCCATCCCATGGTCACTTATAGCCCTGAACAATCCCATTCCTGTGCATGTCTCTATCGTTCGTAATCACCTTTTCTTAGACTTTTTGCTTTCCCTTAAAGTAACATTTAATAGTTTAAAAAATATTCAAGGAGTCCCATCAAATGCTTTCTTTCTACAAGGAAGGAAGATGATCAGAGAACAGGATTACTATATATTGAGCAAACTCTAAAACATTGTTGCCATATGTTTTACCTGTTCATGTCTCATAACTGTGTGAGGAATAATGAAATAAATTGCACACAAAGACATTTGGGGAAGTTAAAAATCTGTCTCATCATAATTGCGACCATCACAGCATTTTTACTCCTCTCTCTCATTTTTCCCAGAGTCCCTTCTGAACCTCTCCCTCTGGCATCCCACCCAGTCACCTACCAGGAGGGAGACTCTAAGCCATATGCAGAAAGTGGCTCTGTTCAAACTCCAGAGCTATTGGCTCCCCAACTTTTATGCCCATGCCAAGATGGCAATAGCCACCAAGAGCACGTGCCATGCTCTCATGCAAGAATACCAGACTCGCCTATGCAGTTTTTGCTACACCCATGTGGAAAGGCTCCCTCTGAACATGAGCATTCAGAAGTCCCTCCACTCCCACAAGCAGTACTCAAGCAAGAAGGCCAAGAGGAAGATATGGCAACTGACAGATCATTCCTCTTGGTCTGTGGAATTTGACTTCATGCCAGATGTCAGCACCTCACAGGTGGCAAGGCCTCCGGAGAAAGTGGTTATACAAATGCCTTCCTTGGAAGAGGCTTCTTCAAAAGAGAGAATGATCAGGCCCCAGGAAGAGGACAGTCATTGTGTCAAGAAGTCTAGCATGAAGAAGAAATCTAATAGCCATCTCCAAATGGATGGCCTCTTTGAGACAAAACTCTCTACCCACTTGAGAACTTCCACCCCCATCATTAACCACTCCTCTCAGATGACAATCAAGAAGGTCATCAAGCAAAGCTTCTCCCTGGTGTATACCCACTGGGCCTTGTGTGCTGATACTTGTGCAGGGAGTCCTTTCCGAGACTACCTGAAGAAGATGAATTTGAAAGTGGAGATCCAACTCTTGGATCTTTGGCAGGACTTATACCATTTCCTTGGTGTTCTGATGAACAGCAGGAAGAATGGGAATGCACTCTTTCGTCACCTGCTGGGTGATAGAATCTGTGAGCTCTACTTGAATGAGAAGATTGATCCACACTTACCCCTCAAATCTCAAATAATTCAGGGCCTAAAGGAGATGTTGCCTTCTGGGGATGCAAACCCTTGGATTCCCAAAGCTCAGAGGGAGATCTGCAAGGTAGGCCATGCTTCAGAGCAATGGATTAGTATCTGGCAGATTTGGTCAAGGCTAACCAAAAATCCGGTCTGGTCCTCTATACTTCTAAGTTAATGATATAATGATCCACATAAATCTTCACATATTGAAGCACAAGGTATGTAATTTCATGTGTACTGGCCAAAAAACTACAAAGTAGAATGGAGGGGGGCATAATCAGTATCCACCTTCTTCACTTCCTTTTATTTATAGTCTCCTTAAATCACAAAACTCAGAATATTTTATTGAGAGACATTTCAAGAACTTTGTTATAAGCATTATGGATTGAAAATCAAGATCCCCTTTTCTAGACCAGACATCAGAAAAATGGCCAATAGAGAAGGATTTATTATTCTCTCAAAACATTAAATAAATGTAAGACAATACCCTCAATATAAGAAGTAAGGCCTGTACCACGACTATTGTTTTGTAATAAGCTTGACAGAAAGCAAATGACAGAGTTAAATTAGATAACAATCAAGAGTCAGATAAAAGGGGTTATTTACAAAGAAAGGTATGGCATTGGGGAAATCACCACCAAAAAGCTACAGTGGGGCTCCTTTATCCTTTCTAGGCCTGAAGAACTGAAAAGAGGAATCAGTTACTAGAATTAGCTGAGAAAGAACTATATGCAGCAAGACAGTTAGCAGGAAGCATAAGCACCAGGAGGTATACTCAGCCCACAGAGATTCAGCCAAAAGGGATTGGGGAAATATATACCTCTGGGGGAATAGTCTCCTGCTTTCCCATTTCCTGCTGGGACACCTAATTTGATGAACCCACTCAAAGGACAAGAGGACCTTTTGAGGTACTCTACACAGGTTAATCTTCCACAGCATTGCAAAGTAAAGAAAGATAGCATACCTGGAGGAGCAAAAATGAGCACTAGCAGCAAGTCATTTAGTTCATTTTCATGCATTTACCTTAGAAATGACATTTGCACATATTACCTTATTTATGCTTCTTAGAAACACCAAAAGATAAAATTATGTTTCTGTCTTTGTTATACAAATGAGGAAAATGGGACCAGAAGGAGTAAGTGAGTTACCCCAAAGACATGTAGTCAGTAGATGTGCCAGGATCATAGTTCTTAGCTCCAAGTCCTCAATGATTTTCAACGCATTTTAATTGTCTAGGGTCATACATCAGGTAGTGTTAGACCAGATCAGTCCAGTAGATTAGCAGCCATAGCTCTTGATGAATGAAAACTCAGAAATTTCCTTTTATGGATGCATTTGGAGGTTTGATAATGATTACAAATAATCAACTACATGTGACACCACCAGAGAAGATTAACAAAGTTCCAGCTACTGATCCTAACCAAATGGAGATCCACAGACTGCTTGCTTGACAAAGAACTCCAAAAAAATCATTTTAAAGAAACACAATGACTTACAAGAGAACAAAGACAAACAGCTCAACAACATCATGAAAATAATATATAAAGAAAACGTAAAGCTCCATAAAGAAAAAAAAACCTCCCTTTTCTCTGTGTGCTCAGCACGGGCAGAGAAAACCAGAAGACTTGCCTCTCCCTGCCTGGCACCACCATGGGAAGGCCCTTTGCTCCACATGCCCAGCACTGGCCTGGCCAAAAGAGACAGATAGATCCAACTCTGCCTGCTGTGTGCTGCCACCAAAAGGACACATCCTACAGGCGGCCAGTGTGGGCAGAGAACCAGCAGATCCACCTTCACCTTCAGGGAGCTGCCACTAGGAGGCTTCCTCGCACAGGCAGCCAGCAGGAGCAGGGACACACAGCCAGGTAAGCCCTGTGCATCATAGGCCACCACTGGAGGCCCCTGGTTCCCTCAGGCAGCCAGCACCCAAAAGCAGAATCAGAAAAACACACTCCTATGTGTCTGCCACCATTGTGGGAGTCCGAGTGTCGACACACAGGCTGAGAGAAACAGCCCAACCCACATGTACCCCTGATCATCAGCAAAGCCACAGTGTAGCTGCATAGCTCTGGAGAAACCTATCTCACACCCTACTACCTCCCTGTAAATTTGAAATTAGAGGAACCCAGGTGCCTGTCCCATCCCCCTACACTGCTTACGGGCAGCCAACCTGGGAAGTTCCCGGGGCCCCACAACCAGCTTGTTGGGAAGAACCCAGGAGAATGTCAAGATGAAGGAGCAAAAGGAAAACTCAGACCTCTAACCCACACAGAATAAATCTGGGAGATACAGTCATGGAAGAAAATAGAAGTCACACACCTGAAATCTCTGAGAGGATAGCAACTGAAGTAAGGAAACAACTTCATGAGATTATAAAAGGAGTCAAATCAGAAATAATACCTCAGGTAAAAGAGAAATCACAGCTGGACCACCTAGACGGAAGGCAGCGCAAAGTGATACAGTGCAGGCCACAGCAGCTTGACTGATCCGGAGGGGAGGGGCCAGCATACGCTGTCCCTGTCTGCAACTCACCAGCACACAGCAGTGTGAAGGGTCATCTAGCCAGCGCACTTCAGAAGAATTGTAACCAACAAAAAAAGAAACTGGGGCCTCCTGGAAGAAGCAAAAAAGATGGGAAGAGGAAGCAACAACAAAAAGTCCCCAGGTCCCAATCCTCGGGACATGAACACAGGACAGGTAAATACAAAGGAGAATGAGGACAGCAAGCATGCAATATCAGACACGGCACTAGTGGACATAGAGATATATTCAGGACTTCATAGACGAGTTCAAAAGTGAAATATTTAGCCAAATAAAGCAAGATATAAGATTAATAAAAGATATACTAAGCACCGCTCAAGCAGACACAGATGGGAGAAGGGAGGAACTCAAACCAAAGGAGAGAACCATTTGATGAAAAATATAAAAAATATAGAATACATTAAGCAGATTCAAAGAGATCACCAGGAAATTAAAAACTCTATGGAAAGATGGCAAATCAGCTTGAAAGAAAGTAAGGATATATTATCCAAACTGGAGGACAATTTTGCAATGTGGGAATATGAAAGGGAAAACTTTTTTAAAAGTAACAAGGAAATAAGCAGTAACAATACAAAGGCTAGAAGATGGCAAAAAGATCTATAACTTGAGAATAAAGAATGTGAATGAAGAAGCTGGAGTACAAACAAAGGAACTACAAAGGTTATTCACAGAAATAATTAAGGAAAACTTCCCAAACATAGGAAAAGGAAATGATATTCTGATATATGAGGCATACAGAACTCCAACCACCTACAACCAAAACAGAGCTACACCCAGGCATATAATAATCAAGATCCCAGAAATTCAATATAAGAACAGAATATTAAAAGCTGTTAGAGACAAGAAACAGACAGCCTATAGAGGAAGGCCCATTAGAATCACAGCAAACTTCTCAACACAAACCATTAAGTCAAGAAGAGCTTGGAGCAAAATATTCCAAGCCCTGAAAGAAAATAACCTCCATCCCAGATTGATATACCCTGCTAAACTATCTCTAGAAATTAATGGAGAAACAAGATGCTTCCAAGACAAAGAGGAACTTGTGAAATTCACAACCACCAATCCAACTCTACAGAGAATACTCCAGGGCATTCTAAAGAGAGAGAAAAGTACTAGGAGTCCAGGAACAGTGGCAGAGAGGCCTCAATGCATGGAGCAGAAAACAGAATGAAGAAGATAAGCAGACAACTGATGGCAAAAAAAAAGAGCATAACAGAAATGAGGCAGAGAATATTTTATTCAAAACTGATATGATTGATAATATCAAGTCTGAGAATATTGGCAACTACACTGAAGATGACAAGACTCTTCGATAACACATTCTGATTTGATAACTGCCAGTTTTTGAAGTTCTACACTATATACAAATTTGTGTTTTTATTAATGCTGTCATACACTGATATATTCAATTATACTATGTCTGATGATATAGCCAATTCTACTGGAGATAACAAGAGACCACACAGGTACCATGGTAGAACTCTTTGTACAATGGTCTTATATGTCTTTTTCATTTCATGTGTTTATAGGAATATGTTTTGCTTTGTCTTGCTTTATTTTGTTTCTCCCTCTAATATAGAAAGGATAGAAATACATATTAAGACTCATGCATGTGTAGAATCTCTAAACAGTTTATGAGAACTGATTTTATGACACATGATGAAATGAACAGATACTTTGAAGAAAAAGAGACACTAAAATACCCAGTGCTTATCCTGGAGTGTCATAATGTGAAATCCAGCAATAGTATTATTCTTTGTTCAGAGTGATATTAGCCTGCTTGCATTTGTTCAATCTCAACATAATTGGAGATATGGATAACTGCATGTATATTTAAGTGTATAGGATTGATAACCATATTTCTAAGTTTTTAGTGGGTAGTTGAACAGAACTGGTTGCAGTCTCACTGTTTGAATCCCCACTTTATAAGCTCCCCTTTAGTATCTTGAATAACTATTTATAAGAGGACAATCTGTAATCATCAACTAGTGATTTCTTACTGTTTATTTTTTTCTTCGAAATTATGTATTATTTCTACCTGTTTTCTGTTTGGTTTAGTCTTTCTTTAAATTAAATTTTTAAAAAAGACACTACGTTACCCAGTGCTGATCACAGAGGATCATGATGTGAAATCCATTCTTTGTTCAGAATGATTTTAACCTGCTTTAGTTCGTTTAATCTAAACATAAATGAAGATATGGATAACTGCATGCATGTTTAAGTGTATAGGATTGACAACCATGTTACTAAGTTTTTTTTTTTTGAGAGTTGAACAGAACTGTTTGCAGTCTCGCTGTTTGAATTCCCACTTTACATGTTCCATTTTTGTACCTTGAACAACTACTTGTAAAATAACAATATGTAACCTCAACTAGTGATTTCTTACTGTTTATTTTTTTCTCTGAACATATGTATTATTCCTACCTATTTTCTTTATGTTTAGTCTTTCTTTAAATAAAAATTTAAAAAGTATTTAAGCAGGAAAGAAAAAAAAAGAAGAAATCACAAGCATACCGAAAGAATTGTTCAGCAGGTCTAAAGAAGAGGAAGACAATAAAGAGGAGCATAGGTAAATGATGGAAACCTTGAATGAATGTAGAAAGGAATTACAACGCATGAAACATATCCAAAGAGAGATGCAGAAAACTAAAATTTCAATCAAAAACTGGCAAAACCTCTTGAAAGAGACTAACAGACTTTCAAGTCTTGAGGATAGGATTGCAACTAGTGACCATGAAAGGAAATATCTCTTAAAAATAACACAGAATCAGGAAATAACAACTCAAAGGCTGTAAGATGAAGCAAAGAAGCATAATTTAAGAGTGATAGGTAGCAAGGAAGAAACAGGGGTCAAATAAATGAAATTAAAAGGACATTCACAGACATAATAGAAGAAAACTTCCCAAACATGGGAAATGGTTCTGGCCTGCAGATAAGTGAGGCATATAGGACTCCAATTAGCCATAACCAAAGTAAATCTACACCCAGACATATAAAAATCAAGATCCCAGAAATTCAGCCCAAGAGTAGAATATTAAATCTGTTAGAGAAAAGAAATGGGTCACCTATAAAGGAAAAACAATCAGAATCACAGCAGATTTACCAACACAAATCATCAGTCAAGAAGAGTTTGAAGGGTTTCAAACCCTGAAAGAAAACAACTTCCAACCCAGATTGATCTACCCTGCAAAACTATCTTTCAAAACTGATGGAAAAATAACATACTTCCATAATAAAGAACAACTAAAAGAATTCACAACTACCAAACCAACCCTACTGAGAGTGCTAAAGAATATTCTAGAGAGAGAGAGAGCTGACCATGGTTCCAGGATCAGCAGCAGAGGAAGATCACCAAACAAGACAGGCAATTGAATGAAGGGGAAAAGTGAAGGGCCAACAACAGGAGGACAGCAGGGCAGAGACAAACCAATGTATGCTGGTTATAACCATTAATGTAGATGGCCTCAGGTCAGCAATAAAGAGAAACAAGGGGAGAGTGGATCAAGAAACAAGATCCATCGATACAATGTACACAAGAAACACGTTTAACTAGAAAGGAAATTCATAGACTGAAAATCAAAGGAGAGAAAACAATTGTTCCAAAAAATAAAACAAGAGTAACTTGCCCATCGAGTGCAGAATGGATAAGAAAGATATGGTATTTTCATGCAGTGGAAAGCTACCCAGCTATAAAGTAGAATAATCTCAATGCTTCTGTAGGTAAATGGATGCAACTGGAGATCATGTTCATGGCTGAAACAGTTTGAACTCATACACGTGAGCCCTAGCATAAGAAACAGAAGGAGTTAAGGGGATCCAAAAGCAAAACAGTTAATGTAAGAGCAAAGGGGAGGAAATACCTGGGAGGGAAAGGTGGAAACTACTGTCAATGTCTTATTGTCTTATCTTGAATTCTTGTATTGTTTACACAATTTTGTTAGGTTTGGCTTTGTTCTGTCTTGTTTTGTTAGATTTTATGCTGTCAGATGGTAGGGGCAGCTATTTTGAATATAATGAAATATTTTATGATATTCATGGTTTCCTGTTAACTGCTTTGAAGTCTTACAATGCTTTCATTCATAGGTTTGATTACTTTATTATGTTTTGTTTGATTTTATTATGTGTGATGGTATGAACAGCTATTTTTAAGAAAACAAGACAATATGGCAGCCATTGCTGATTTACTGTCATCTTTTTTTGAAGTCTGACTATGCTTTTGTTCTTCTGTTTTGATTGGTTCTATCCTGTTGTGTTTTATTTGATTCTATCATGTGAGATGTTATAAACAAGTTTTTTGAGGAAAACAAGATATTATAGTAGCCATTGTTTATTTCCTATTATTTGGTTTTGAAGTCCTGTAATGCTTTTTTTCTTTTGAATGGTTTTATACTATTTTGCTGTTTTATATTATTGTGTGTGAAGGTATGCTCAACCATGTCAAAGAAAAGAGACATTATGATAGCTACTGTTGATGTCTGGTTGCCTTGTGTGAAGTGCTGTGTGGCTTGCCTTGTTCTGATTTGTTTTGTTCTGTTCCCTTTTGTTTTATTCTCTCTAAAATAATAATAATAATAATAATAATAATAATAATAATAATAATAAAAAGAAATAAAAACCTTTAAAAGAACCAAATAGAAATTCTGGAGATGAAAAATATAGTTGCTGAACTGAAAAAATTCAACAAATTTCAGTAGCAGATTTGATCAAGCAGAAGAATTAGTGAATACAGGAATTTAAAATTATCTGGTGAGTGTAAGAAAGAGTGAAGAAAGCCTGCTTGACTTTTGGGACACTATCAAGTGAACAAAGATACACGTTTATGAAAATTCGCTAAAGAAGAAAGAGAAAAGTAAGGAAAGTTTCTTTAAAGACATAATGGATGAAAACTTTCTAAATCTAGGCAGATAAATGAAAATTCATATCAAAAACCCTAAAACAATTTAACACCAAAGAGGTTTACACCAAGACAAACTATAATTAAATTGCCAAAAGTCAAAGTGAAGAAAAAATTTGTAAAGCAGCAAAGGAAAAGTAACATATTACACTTAAGGAAATGACAGGATTTCTCAGCAGAAATTTTGGTTACCAGAAAAACTAGAACATATATTCACATACTAAAAAAGAAAACTTTCAACCAAGGATATTTTATCTGCAAAGTTAAGATTTAGATTAAAGAAATGTTGAAAATTTTCATGGATAAAAACTGAAGGAGTTTGTCATTACTAGACTTGCCTTATGAGAAGTACTGAAAGTAATTCATATTGAAAAGAAAAGACGCTAAAAAATATTGAATACTGAATTTGAAATATGAAATTTGAATATGAAGATTGAAATTGAAGTGAAAAGATGCTAAACAATATTAAAATATATGAAAATAGAAAATTTCTCCACTAACCATAAATATAAGGACAGTATTATAACACTGAAACAAAGGGATATAAATCCCTTTTAATGCCAATATATAAGCTAAAATTCGTAAGGATAACTACAATTATTGAGTTGGTTAATGGAAACAATATAGAAGAAGTCTTACATCAATTACATAAACTGTATGTGTGTATTGGGAATAAAGCATAGAGTTTTTATGTGACTGAAGCTAAGTTGTCATCAGTTTAAAACAGATTTATTAGTATGGGGTGTTTATTGTGAGTTTTATGGCAGCCACAATAACACATACAGTAGGCACACAAAGGCAAAGAGAAAGAATTAAAGTACATCAAGAAATCAAACAACAAAAAGAGAAAAAGAAGAGAACTATAAAAAAGATGAAAAGCAATTAACAAAATTATAATACCTAGTCCTTAACTATAAGTAACTTACATATAAATGTCCTGAGTTCCCAAATCAAAAGATGCAGAAAGGGTTAGTAGATTTAAGAAACAGCATGAAACTATGTACTGTCTACAGTATTCTATACTTAAGAACATACACACAGATGCTGAAAGTAAAGGGTTTACAAAGATATCTCCTGAAAATCCTCAATCTCCCCCCACCCCCACCCTTTGTGGTACTAGGGATTGAGCTAAGTATCTTTGCATTAAGCTATATCCTCTGCCTTCACCATTTTTAGTGATGGAATCTCTGTCACCAAGTTACCAAAAGCAATTTTTTTGAAAAGCAGAGGTGCTACCTTTACTTCAGACAAAATAGATTTTAAATCACAAACTATTCACAAATAAACAAAATTTTAATATAAAATTTTAAAAGTCAATTCAAAAGGAAGATACAATGTTATAAATTCATATGCTCCCTGCACCAAATTGCCTAATATATAAAGTAAACATTGACAATCTGAAGGGAAAAATAGAAAGTAGTATAATATTAGTAGATTTCAATACCTTGCTTTGCCTGAGCTCTGCCCACTACCTGAAACATTGTTTACTCCACTTCCTTCTGTAAGCTCCTACTTATCCTGCCAGGTTCGCATTATAGTTTAGATCTCTTTACCTGTATGAATTCTCCCTGGATTTGCTCAGAAACAGTTGTTCCCATTTCTATGTTTTTAGAGAACTTTGTTCTTTATGTGGGGTGTGCTATAGCATGTGTTATAAATTTTCTCACCCTTCAGTAGATTTTTAGAGCTTTTTAGTATAATAAGGCTTATAGCATACTGATCTTTAGTGCCCAACAATTTGTATAGTGCTGACACACCACACAAATACTACTATAGTAGTAATAAGTAAATGTAGTAAGTATATAAGTATAGTAATAATCAGAAAATGTTTGTCAAGTAGATAAATGAAAGAAAATGAAAATACTCATAATGAGAGTATGAATAAATAAATGTAGATAAACACTAGCTTTGTTCATTTTTCTATAATGAAATATTATTCACAAATGGGTAGGACTTTCCAGTAGTAGGTTTTGGGGGATGCACCAAAAGGTGTTGCTTTATTTTCAGAGCTATTATGAGAATCAAATAAGACCATACTTTGGAAAGGAACAAAGTAGTAGGCAGAGGTTATGTAACTGTTCTGTAAGTTATTTTTGTATATTTTAATATATATATATATATATATATATATATATATATATATATATGGATAGTGATATGGCTCAGTGTTATAATCACCTGCCTGGTAAAGCACAGGGCCCTGAGCCTATTTTTGGTACTATATATATATATATATATAATATTATTATATTGTGAATTTTGTATATTTACATACATACATATATATTTTCATATATAATATAACATAATATAGTATAATATATTACTGTTGTCTGAAACTTAGAGAAAGGCTGTGTGAGTGGCTATCTCCAGAAAATAGTAGAGTGCCAACGGATGGTCATAGCTCATGTTTGTGGTTCCATTAGATCTCCAATTTAAAGAAACCAGAGCTTCAGCCTACTCTGTTCCAAGAGGGATGCGGGCTGAGAGATGGAGCAGGCTGAGCACCAGCCTCATGATATTTGTGTTGTGTTTGGATTGCAGATGCTCAGCCCCTGGTACGATAAATTCCTGGATGAAGAGGACTACTGGTTTCTCGTTTTTACAGTAGGAGAGACTTTGGGCTGGAGAGGGGTCAGAGACTCTAGGGGAGAAGAGAGAGTACTGCTATTTTAGAAGGCATGCTTGCTGGTGTAAATGAAATCATGAATTTTCCTAGAGAAAACTGGAGATTAGCTTGGTACCTGGTGTGCTAAAGATAAATCTGTTAGGGAAAAGACTCAGTGCATAAACTGACTTTGAAAAAAATCACATTCATGTGGAAATCCAGCCTTAGAAGAATGGGTTTGGTTAGACAGTGAGGTAAGGAGTAGAGTTTGTAAAGGAGCAATGTAACTTAACAATTGAGAAAATCAGCCTAAATCTACACAAAAGAGAGGTACAGAGGACTGAGTTATTGTGAAACTCATCTCTGGCTGGATCCCTATAGCAAACACTGTCTATTCCCACACTCTTCTCTTAGACTCAGACACAGTTCCTCAAAAGCCGGAGGCACAAAAAAGAATCTACAGACAAAAAATACAACATTCTTATTTGTAAGAGGATTCAGGAATCGCTGAAGTTAAGCCAGGCTTTGGCTAACATGGAGGAAATGGAGTGTATCCAGTGGGAAAAGATAGCTACTGAGAACCTGAGACAGGGTGGATCTCTCCAGGTAGAGCTAACATCTCCAGTGTTCTTGGAAGGTAAGAATGGTCACTAATTTTTCGACTCTAACACAAAGGTGACTAGGAAATATAAATCAACATTTAGAAATTACTCTTCATCAGCACTGTGCAACACAGAGATATCTTCATTTGATCTTCAAGCCTTCAAACCTTAACCTATGAGGTACAGAGTAGATAGTAACTGAGCTACAGAGAAGATATGACTCCCCAGGGTTACACTGTAAATGGCAAAGTCAAGATTTGAACCCAGAAAGGCTGCTGGAAGCACCTCCTGGATGTTACCAGCTTTGAGGAAGTCAGGGCACCCAAATTTGGGCAGATTCTTGCTCACCAAAACATTGTCAGTCAACAATGAACACTGCATTTTGTGCATCTGATATTTCACTCACGACACCTCTTTCAGAGTCTGGCCCAAGGGCATTTCTGTGAAATATTTTTAACGGCCACCTTCTTTCCCTAACATAAAACCGGCCCACCTAGAAGTGGAGAAAAGGGAGTTAGGAATACAAAGCTGTTTTGTCCTGAGGGCAGGAGTTATATCCCACCTCTACTCTTGAAGGTGTATGCTTGGACAAGATATTTAATCACTGTGTAAGCCTCACCTGTAAAATGGGGGTAATAATAGCCTTGTTGTAAAAGTAACCCAAAATCACCTGTGAAAGCTTTTACCACAATATTTGGCAATAGTAAGAGTCCAATAAATTTTTACCATTATTATTTAAATTGAAATACATTTTATTATTTCATCATTTGTGTTAAGGTAGTTGAAGAACTACAGTATTTAGTTCCAATCCACACTAAATACATTTGACCTCATGATTCCTTAAATTTATGTGTATATATATGCACATGCGTGCTAAACTAATACTTGCCCTTATTACATAAGATAATGTGCTCTAATATTCTGTGTTCTTTTCATCTTACATTGTAAGAGTGAACAGTGACTCAGTTTATTCAGTTTATCTTTTGCCAGTGAGTCATGATCCATACTTTGAAAAACAATGGTAAATTAGATAACAACAAAAGCTTCAAAAACCCCGCTCACTCACTCTGGGAGCAAGTTCCTTCATCTCTCTGGTGTTCATTTCCTAGTCTGCATTATGGAGACAATGGCTTGTGGGTTGTAGGCTCACTAAGAAGATCAGAGGCATTTACACAGCAAACAGATGCTCACTAAATGGTACTTGTTAGATTATCAAAAATGTAGCATCCAATTCTTTTTAAAGACTTTAATGTGCATGTACAAAGCAAGGTGTTCATGTGACTCAAACCCATGCTTGGGTTTGAGTTATTTAAATTGAACATGAAGAGGATTTTTCTTTCTTTATTTTTTTAATCTGAGAGGTTCCACCTTTTCTCTAAAACCTTAATATTCTAGGGCTTCTCCCAAGAATCATACAAAAATTAGAGAGAGAGAGAGAAAAGAGGGAAGGAAGGGAGGAAGAGAAAGAAAGAAAAGAAAAGAAAGGAAGGAAGGAAGGAAGAAAGAAGAAAGAAGAGGGAAGGAAGGAAGGAAAAAGAAAACAAGAGAGAAAGAAAAAGAAAAAAGAAAAATCAAAGACCATGGAAGGAAGGACGGAAGAAGGAAGGGCAGGCTGGTGAATTTTGCCACACGCATGCTGTGCGTGTGGCATTACTTTGGTGGCTATGGATTATCAGGGATGGCCAGGAGTGAGAACCATCCTCCACTGACTACCCTCCTCTCCTTTCCTCCTCCACACACACATTATTTCTCCACCACAGCTAGAGGAGCACAAGCCTGGCCTGATAAAGGGCCTCATTTACATTTGCCCAAGGTGGGGCCTTGACTCCCAGACAAACTGATGCTTATGGTTGGGGATTTAGCTCAGCAATGTAAGTGCCTGTCTAGGAAGCATAGATCGTTAAACTCTGTACCAAAATATAAAATAGATAAAATAAAATGAAAAAATTTAAAAACTGATGCCTAACTTCAAGCTGCACTGTAAACTGACAGAGCATCAGAGCTGTGAATATGAATACTCTTTTTTTAATGGAGCCACTGGAAACCAGAAGGTTGAAAAAACTTCCCCAAGGCTGCTCTGGGGAAGGAAGGGATTGATTCAGCACTTCCAACCCAGATCCATGGCAAAGTCACCTGCTGCTCTTAACACCTGCAGCTGGAATCTCCTAGTCATCCTCCTGGCAGGTGATGCTGGTGACTAAAACTTCCCCATCTCTGGAACAAAATACTAACACCCACAATTTAAAAGAGGAGAGATTTATTTTGGCTCACATTTAGGAGGATTCAGTCCATGGTTGGTTCCAAAGCAGAAACAGCTCTGCACAGGGGGATGGCGGAGGAAAACTACCCAACCCATGGCAACCAGAGAAAGAGGAGCAGCCAGGGAGTCAATGGTTTACCACTGATGAGTATCATCCCCACAAGGTCCAATCACCTTTTTTTAGTGGGGGTACCAGGGATTGAACTTGCAACCTCGCACTTATGCAGAGCTAAATCCCTGGCCCCCAGTCACCTTGTAAAACACAAGAGACTTTAATAGAACATTTTAGATTTAAACAAAACAATGATGGTAACAATGGTGCTAAATAAGAATAACTGATATCTATGGATCTATACTCCAGGATTCCTTCTAGACACCAAAAATTGTCTTGAAAGTAATGTACTGAGTATACAGAGAGGAACAGGAGAGTTCTGTGCATTAGATGTACTCTGAGCACCACAGTGCAGCACAAATGAGTATTTTCATTTTTCTTCATCCGTTGCCCGGAACATCACTAAACCTTCTCTTGCTAGCTCAGCCTTATCGGCCCACAACATTTTGATAGAAAAAGATATTTCCTGTCAATTCACCACACAGAACTAGAAATCACTTTGGTTGTTTCTAGGAAAAATAATCCATCCTCAAAGAACAATTATTTGTAATTGTTGATGGTATTCAGATGTATGAGTTATCAAATCTGAAATTAATTTCCCCAGGGTCAAAGCCAAAAATCAGAAAGGCATTAGCATATTCACATGCATTATCCTTAAGTACATCTAATGTTTGAAGTACTTGCAGGATATTCAATATTCATTTTCAACTCCTCTTTACAAAAGATGGTTATTTTGAAGGTACCACAAGTCATTTGAATGAGTTAATCTTGTACATGCATTAGCAATTAGTAGCTCTTTCAACATCTTATCTCAAGACACTGGCACCCTTCAGGCAGAAAATCACCACAGATCAGGCTTCCCAGAGAAAAGCAGAATCTTCACATTCTGCTGCAGAAGTGAGGATATATTTCATGCTTCTAATTTGGCTTTGAAGTCTTGTATAAAGAATGTGTATGCATTCCATTAAAACTCTATTGTCTGGCCTAAGTCAGCACCTTCAAGATAAGTCAGTGAATCTTTGAACCTAAAGTGGACAACCAGATTCATCTCTGTGTCTACTTACTTCACAGATATCAACAAAATGACCTTTGAAGAACTCTGCTTAAAGAATCCAAAGTTGGCCATAGAGAAGATCAGTGATGACTACAAAAAATATTGCGAGAGAGCACCTAAAGAAGGCAAGTATCTAAATTTAAGGATAGATTTGAAGCAAAATCTGACAATTTTCTGATGCAAGGCACATTAGCCAAAAACGAATCAAACTTTGTTTGCCATGGAGATATGGTCAAGAGGTAATAACTGTTATCTTTTCCTTCTCCTAAAAAACCATAGGCAACTATCACAAGAATAAGATCCAATTATAAATCATCAAAGATGATGGTGATTAAGATTGTTCATTTCTACTTTGTTATCTAGTAGGGATATTAAACAATACACAACCATCTTCCACTAAAATTTTTGGAATCAGAGATTTGCGGAAGGATATTTGTAAGGGGATGTTTTAGGGACAACATCTAGGAAAGAGTGAGGATGGGCAGAAGTGACTTTTTGTATTTCCACACTGACCCAGATGTGATGTGGAAATCCCTGAGGAGGATATAAACTCGGCCAGGCGATTTCATTTGGCCAAGCAGCTGACAGGGGACCTGCAGCTGTAGTCTGTCAGCAACCAAAACTGCGAGGTCTGGAGATCTTTGGGCACTCTTCTGCTCCCCATCCTAGAGTCTGCCCTTGCTCAGCTGATAGCTCTGCTGGTCTCAGCAGGGCTTATAAGGCAGGTCCGGGATGACCTGGACCCCCATCACTGATGTCTCTGAGCTCCTGGTCATCAGGACTCCGGCTGTGGCTGCTTGCTTGTCAGTTTGTCATTAGAACTGGTTAGGGAATACTAGGAGTGACTAGTGAATTCTCCCCTCCCACTAGTACCTTCCATTCAGTCCAACTGGGTTCGTTCTAGCTTTTTCCATTTTCATGTTTCCAGGTCTTTGCTTTGGCGATGAGGAACCTGACTCCTGCTCTCTTACATTTATCCACTTATTTGATTGCCCCTCTCTCTGCAACTCATCTTCTATTTCCACTGCCCCCATGTCACCTCACAGAGGGCTTTCTGCCCTTACCTGGGCTCCAGGGCCTACACCAGCACCCCAGCCACTCTCCTCACTTTGCTTGAACTCCACCACCTCCATCCAGGCTGCCGTCTTGGGTGGAACACTTCCTCGCGCCAATCCCTCTCTTAACCTGTGCCAGGCCTCCTTTATGTGTGGTCAGTGTCTTCATGTCACTCAGGCTCTGACTCCCTGCACCTGACTGTCCTTTCCTGGGGACACCTTCCTCACCTTGCTCAGGTACTAACGCCCCACACCCAGCCTCATTCACCTCCTGCATGAGCTCCTTTTTCATCTTGCTTGGACCCTATTATTCCACACCAGGCAGCCCCCTAACAAGGATAGCTTTCACCTTCTTGTGTTCTGACACCCCATGTTGGACTGCACCTTGTGAAATTGTCCTTCCCATCTGCCCAAGTGCCAAAACTCAATGCTGGCTTGTGGCCACATCCTCCAACCTGGATCTCCTCCTCCCCAGTCTCGGACTATTCACACCGGACCAGCCTTTGTCATGCTGTCTTCTTTGTGATGTTGCAGTTCTGAATTCTGTGACCTATGTTGTCGTCCTAGTGAATACCCTCCTCATCTGGGTAGGTTCCAGAATACAGTGCATGAAGTGCTGGCAGTGTCTTCTTACCTCACCTGGGGTCTGACTTCCTACTCAGTCACTACGGCCCATTTCTCCTCTTAGAGCTGTCATTTACCTTGTTCTCCCCTAACTCATGATGTTAGAACTTAATTGTTCAGAGTATGAACCCATCACATAAGTTCTTTTTTTACGAGTGGCAATGGGAGATTTAATCAGCAGAGTCTACTACAGGGATTGTGGCTGCATGCTAGTGTGGTTATCGCACTGTGGCCATGGGAGAAACTTCCGTGTCTTTAAGGGTGTTTCTTCAAACCCCACTCCCACATATACAGTTTATATAATTTTAGTTCTGTTCATAGCTAAACATCCTCTGAGTATAACCTGATCTGACTCAATTAGCACCTCTTACCCTAGTATCTCAAATCGTTCTCTCTGATAGAAGAAAATAAAGTGCTAAGATTTCATAATTATTTCCTCAAGGCAGTACTTTAAAAATTTACTTCAAATCACCCAACCTCAGTTCTTCTTTTCGTGCTTAATCGCTATTGCCCTCTTTTCCTAATAATTTTGAGAAACAAGGAAAAATACACTTAATCAACTGCCCTGTTAAACAAATATAACTTTTACTCTACCTCTCAACTACTAATCCCTTCTTCTTTTTCAAAGGTAATGGTAATTTAGTTCTATCTGGGTTTTCTTAATTTGCTTAATATTTTTTAAATATACAACCTGAATCAAGAATCGTGCTTTGTTTAGTGCCTGCCTTGTATAATTTACCATTATGTTTGTGAGTTCAGCTAGGTTGTTGAATGCAACAATTATTGATTTGTTTTTTGGTAAGGCAGAGCAGTTACACAACAATCATCTCGATCTTTTATTGCCCTACTTTAAGGGGCCTCTTCTGGCAGAAAATTTTAATACAAAAATATACTATACCTGTGGGTATCCCTGTAATACGTAAAAAGAACAAGATTGGCTATGACACCCAGGAAACAATTGTCAGCCTGTTGAGACAATAACATGCTCTTTGAGTATGCACGCTATGCTATAGAGTACCCAGAGTATAAATATACTGTATTTTTAATCCACTCAAAGTTGACAGGCATTTGAGTTGTCTGGTTTCTGAAGACTTTATGCAATCATATATTGCACAACATCAACAATGGACCACGTATATAAGATTGGCAACAAATAGTGTGTAGTAAGCTCTACCGTCTAGGTTTGTGTAAATATTAAATATCCTCTATGATGTTCTCACAATGCCTGGGCCACCTAGTAATGTGTTTCTCAGACGGTGTTGACTCATGGCTATATATGGCTCCTATGAATATCTTTCTATGTGCTATCTGATGGTCATTCTCTCAAATACATGCCGTTTATATTTCATAAGATACACAAATAATAAACTTTAACAATTTCCAGTAAATTTACAGCATTTGCACAAATTTATATTCCCATCAACAGAATTTGGGAAATCTAGTTGCTCTACAAACCCACAAATATTTGATGTGCCAGGCTTGTATTTTTAGCTTTCCTTTCTCCCCTACTTTGTGATGTCATTTCTGTCACCAAACAGCTGTCACTGTCAATGTGGGTTCATTTCTGGAGACTTTAGTTGGTCCATTTGTATTTTCTTGCACAAATATAACACTATTAGTTACAATAATTGTATAACAAGCATTGATAATTGATTGTATTAACTTCTTTTTTGGAATTTTTAAGAATAACATAGCTTTTGTATCTTTTGTTTTTCTATATAAATACTAGAATCAGCTTGTAAATTCCCACCAAAAAATATGCCTCTAGGACTTTGATATAGAGCTGATATCTAAAAAAATATGCCTCTAGGACTTTGATATAGAGCTGATATCTTAACATTTGATATGTTTTTTCTTTTATTGAGGCAAAATTTACATAGGGTAAAATTAATAATTAACCAAATTAAAGTATGCTATTCAGTAGTATTCACAGTGTTGTACATCTCACACCTTTGTCAAATTCTGAACATTTCACCATCCCAAAAAGAAACCCTGTGCCCATTAAATAATCGCTTCCACTCTCCCATTGTGAAAACACTTGCAGAAAAAAAAAACCTTGCAGCCACTAATCTGCTTCTGTTATCATCAGTTTACATAGTTCTGGATATTTCATAGAGACAGAATACTTCAATATATGATCTTTTACATCTTATTTCTTTCACTTAAATAATGCTTTTGAAGTTCATGCATATTTTAACATATATCAGCTCATCTCTTTTATGACTGAATAATATCGCTTTGTGTGGATATACTACATTTTGTGTATTTATTCATAAGTTGATCAAAAGTTGGATTTTTGCATGTGGTGCTACTATGAAAATTCATGTACAAGTTCTTGTCTGAATACTTGTTTCAATTCTTTTGGTTGTAAATCTAGGATTATAATTGCTGGATCAGATGTTAATTCTGTGTTTAATTCCAAGAAACATCATACTATTTTCCATGCAGCTTCACCATTTCACATTTCCACTATCAATGTATAGGTTTTAGTTTCTATATATTCCTTACCTGTCTGTTTTTTACCTTTTAAAATGATAGCCATCCATGGGTATGAAGTAGCATCTCAGTGTGGTTTGATTTGCATTTTCCTAATGATCAATGATATTGAATAATTTTCATGTGCTTATTGGCCATTTATTTTTTTATTTTTATTTTGAAGAGAATAAAACCAAATGAGAAAAAACAAAATGGGGTCAGTCAAAACAAAAGGATGGACATAGTACATGACTTAAAACAAAAATGCAAGGTGATCTACAATGGTTACCATGGTGTCTCTTATTATCTTCAATAGAACTGTCCATATTTATCAAGCACAATAAAAGTGAACATAGCAGTACAGAACAAAATCCATAAAAACAAAACATTGGAGTTATAGGACTTCAAGAGAAGATAATAGTCAAACCAGAATAGGTTTCATAGTGAATCTTATTGTCTTCAGAGTAGTTGCCTATACTGTCAGACTTGATACTATCAAACATAACAGATTTGAGTAAAATCAGTCAAGACAAGACAGTTATCAAAACATTCAAATAAAATCAGTCAAAACAAGACAGTGAAAGCAATGCAGGGCTCCAGATTAAGTTAACAGGAAATTAAAAGTAGTTACTGTAGTATTTCCTGCTATCTTTGGAATAGCTGCCCATACCATCAAATCTAGTACAAATAAACAAACTGGAGCAAAATATAACCAAACTAAACAAAGTGATTGAAAATAATATGGATTTCAAATCATGATACAAGATTAATAATGTCCTCTGCCTTTCCTTTTTAGACAATTCCTCCCCTTTCACTTTCACAGGGTGCATTTTACATTTTGTATCCCACTAACTCCTTTAGTTGTTAAATTAGAGAGGCAACTCATTATTTACCTAAGTGGTTCCAAAACTATTTTGGTTATAGCTGGCTGGAGTTCTGTATGCCACGTATATCTGGATATCATTCCTTTTCCTAAGCTTGGGAAATTTTCTTTAATTATTTCTGTAACTAGTCTTTGTATTTCACTTGTGTTTACCCCTGCTTCTTCACTCACGTTTTTTATTCTTAAGTTATAGATCCTCTTGTCGTCATCTAGCTTTTGTATTATTATTTCCTGGTTCCTTGTTATTTTAAAGAGATCTTTCCTTTTGCAATCCCACATTGCAAACTGTCTCAGGATTTCATAGTCTATCTTTAGTTTTTTTTCAAGCAGTTTTGCCAGATTTCAATGGAGTTTTTAATTTCCTGGTAATCTCTTTGAATCTGTTCCATGTATTCTAGATTTCTTTTATATTCTTCATCAAAGGTTTCTCTCTTTTTTCTATGTTCCTCCATTCTTCCATCTGTGTCTTCTTGAGCGATGCTTAGCATTTTTTAATTATTTTTATTATATTTTCCCTTACCTGTATTAGTATTTCTGTTTTAAGTTCTTTTATAATTTCACAAAGATATTTCTTTATGTCAGATGTTGTTTCTTCAGAAACTGCAGGTGTGCAACCCCCGATCTCTCCTGTGTTTACCTCTTCTGGGATAGCACTGCTTGGGATGGAAGCTGAAGACTTCCTTTTGTTTCTTCCTCTTGTCACGTTTATGGTTTCTTTCAGACAAATGGAGTGTGTGGTCCTCATAATTACTCTTAAGTGTGCTGGCTAAGGATTGCTGCCCTCCCCAGTCTGCTAGTGTCCACTCGAGTACAAGCAAGGATGGGTCAGGTTGGCCCCTCTCTTCTGAGCTGGTCAACCACTGGGAGTCTTCACCACATTAGTGTGTGCCACACGGTTAGGGTGGTCAGGGATAGCTTCAGGGAAATCTTGGTCTTTTCTACTGGATCTCACACAGGGACAGGAATCAGTCCAACCAATTCTCACCATCTGCTCTGCACTAGGAGTCACTGAATGAAGCTGGCTGCAGTTCTGGCTCTAGGCTTATCCTGCCCTACTCCAAAATGTTGCCCAGTCAATCACTGACTCCTGCAGAAGGATTGAGTCCACCACACTCACCGCAAGTTGGTGCAGTTTTCCAGGCTGCTGCTCCTCTCTGTGATCATGTCCTTCTACCAAGGCCCTTGGGCTTGTCAATCCCGAACTTCACCATGACCATGTGTCTCCAGATTCCAGTGGCACTTCGCTCACAGTGGGACTGGCTCTGGTGAAAGCACATCTGGCTACAGTCTTCTGTCCACGTTTTTCTTTACTTTTCATTCTTTGGTTTGTTTGTTTGTTTGTTTCCACTTTAGTTTCTTCCTAGGTCGAGAGGATCCATCTTCTTCCATCCTGGTCTTCTCCAGGATGCTATATTTCAGCATCTGAGCTGAGTCTCTCAGAGAGGCTTTATATTTTGCTGCTTATTCACCCACCATCTTCCCAGCTTCACCTTATTGGCCATTTAAAATCTTGGGGAAATGCAAGTCATATGCTCATTTTTAAACTGGCTTGTTTTTCTTCCTGTTCTAAATTATATCTATAATCTTTGCTAAAACTTTGTAGCATGATATTGAATGCAAGTAGAAAAGGAATGCATCATTGTCTTGTTCCTTTTTAATTTTCATTAGTACATGTTCACAGTATTACATTCACTGTGGGGAATAAATACATATTTATAACACAGATCAATTCTTTTTTTTCCTTTCTCTCCATCCTCCCCTTTTAAAAATAATTTGCCAGCAGTAGACTCATTCATTTATTTTACAAATTCTTATCAAGTTAATTATAATAAATACAGGTTTTCAGCCAGATTAACAGGCCAAAAAACATATAAGAACACAGGAGACAACTGTATATCATGTCTTGTTCCTGAGGATAGGTAAAATTCTTCCAGTCAGCAGCGTATAGTGCTGCCTATAAATTTGCCCCTAATCATTCAAGGACATTTTCTTCAATTTCTAGCTTGTTTCTAGCCCCTCCCCCCTTTTTTTGCATGAAAAGTGTTGGGTTTTGTGAAGTGCTTCTGTAGTATCAACTGAGACTAATAATGAGGTTTTTCCTTATAATTTTAACATGGTGTATGAGGTTGATTTAATTTCATATGTTGAGCCACCCTTGCATTTGTGTGGTAAATCCTACTTGATCATGATATATAACTTTTGCAACATTCTGCTGGATTTCATTTGTTAGTATTTCATTGAAGATTTTTCATTTATGTCTACAAGGGATGTTAGTCTACATTTTTCTCATGTTGTTCTCATCTTACTTGGTATTTTACTTGGCCCCCCCAAAATGAGTTAGGAAGGGTCTTCTCCTACTCAATACATTGAAGGATTCTGAGTTCCAGACAGTGCACAGATATTTTTTTCCATTGGTACTGGGGAGTGAAAAAGATCCTTCGCACAGAACTTCATCTTCAGCCCTTTTTTCATTTTTTTATTTTGAGACAAAGCCTCACTAATTCATTAGTTTCCCCATAAGCTTGAACTTGCCATTTTCCTGCCTTGGCCTCCCTAATTGAGACAATTACAGGACTCTCAGTTATATGTAGGAGCTAAAAACCCATATTACCAAATACATCTTCTTTCCCCAACTCATATTTACCCAATATTTTGGTCTAATGCTGTCCCAACTATTGTCCATGGGCTCAAGTAGCTGAAGCCCAAATTTTTAAATGCCTTTGGCAGATATCACTGGGAATCCTCCCAGTCCTGCAAACACTTCACATAGGCCAAGTTAAGGCAAATCTTGCCATGAGTCCTTCCAGAAAGCAGCAGAGAACTTGAGATCAAAGTTAAACACCACAATGCTTTGAAAATAAGACCTGTACTGCTCCTTGCAGTGTTGGCATCCCGCATCCAGAGTGTACCTGCTGCCATCAAGGACATCACTGATGTGGGGTGGGGAGCCAAGCATGAACAATTTTGAATAGAACTGCTGTTGCAAGTTTCTGATTAGATCCCTGAGGGTTTTTTTGTGTTTTTTTGTTTGTTTGTTTGTTTGTTTTTTTCTTTTTTTTTTTTTTTGTCTTTTTCTTTTTTATCGGTACCATGGATCGAACTCAGGACCACACACTTGCAAGGCAGGTGCTTATGCCGCTGAGCTAAATCCCCAGCCCCCGATCGCTGAGTTTTGTAAAACTGTTTTTGAGACATCCTTAGCTGCATAAGCAACTACCAAAACCTTTGCTAAATTTCTCTGTAGAAATTTACATAACTGCTAGGAGCCTTAAGAGTGCAAGCAGGGCTGAAAGTTTGGGCCAATTTAAAATCTCTGTGGCTTTGTTTGGTGTTTCACAGTGGCTGCCACACTGCAAATCCCTGTAGAGCAGCAGGTAAGAAAGCACTTACCTTTCTGGTTGTTCGCATTCTCTTTTGCACTGGTCTGTGTTTTAATTTTGATTTGTTCTAATTTCTATAAACTTTGTATAAGTTTATTGATGATTTTAAACATTTTTTATCTAGCATTTTTTAAGTCTTAGGCTGTGTTTTATTTTGGAGAAGCTTGTGGCTTTCTTGTTCTCTTAACATTTATTATTCCATATTATGAGTTTCATTTTTCGTCTGTTTGAACTGCATTCATTTTTTGCAGTATGTGTTCACATTGCTTTCAGTTTTTTTATATGCTATCACAGAAAGTATTACCACGCCAAATTTCCTATGTGAGAACATTATATTTAATAAACACCTTAAAGCACTGACTACATAACAAGGCCACGTCGTCATTTCTGGCTGTGAGATCCTTCCCCACAATGGGTTCATAATACATGTTTTCCTCTACAAAATAAACTTCAAAGAATTCTTGTAAGACTGAGACCAGTGGAATCTATTATAAATGATATTTTAATATATTTCTTGGAATAATTGTTTATAAATAGCACTAGAGTACCAGACACCCACTATGAATTATGCATAGTATGCTGGAATAGCATTTTAGTGGAAGCAATGTCTTCAGGAAGAAAAACATCTTGGTTAAAGCTAGAAGGTGGTAGGGATGCTAAAAGATGAGGTCAACATTCTGTCAGTTTGCTGTTTACAAAGTGAGTGTTTCAGAGGGCAAGTGGAAGGGTTTTAGATGGAATATCTGGGGTTTTAGGGATAATAGAACACATGTGGCAGGTAGTTCAGTAAGATAGAATGTAGTTCACAAGATAGAATGTATGTAGCTGGTTGCAGGAGCGATGACTCCTGGTGTTGACAAATGCAATGAGGAAAGTACAGTGCACCGAATCTTCACTGTCTCTCTTGAGAAGGGGGACTCCAGGCTAAGGGTCAACCTATTTAGCAAACAGCCAGACTGAGCTCAGTGTCAGGGATGTAAATCATCCTAGGTTATTCTCAGCTTGGATGGCCTGGGATGGCTACAGTGGCGAGGACAGTGGTTTTTCCACATGTATGTAGTAATGTCTGATAAATGTCCTTGCTATGTTTTCCTACCTTCTACAGTATTTCCTTATAACACAGTTTTATCAACTTTGTGATTTTTTTCTTAGATGTTGCAGTAGAAATGATCAAGGAACAAAGGAAGGAACCATCCTCCACCAGAAAAATATCTTTCTTCAAAAAAGTGGGTGTACGGAAGCCCTCAGTGAGACCTAGGTAAGATGTGGGACCTGGCTATAGCAACATTTCCAAGCATAATCTTTCCTTCTGTGTGTGGGCTTCCTGACCTTCTTCAGGGTATTATACACATGTGAACAAGATCACTTTGCATTTTAAATTAGTTTGTTTTCTAAAATTGCTATTTGTAATATATATTTTTTATTTTAAAAAAGATAAAAATAACAGAATTTCAAAATAAGATAATAGAATGATACATTGAGTATTATCTTCAGAGTAGTTACTCAGAGTACAAAATAATAGGCATGAGATATTGTACAGCATTAGCACAAACCGTTCCTTTCAGTGAACTAAGAGAAACTAGTAATACAACTATCTCAACTATCTTGCTTACATATTTTTTCTTTTTCCCCTTCCTTACATTTCCCTTTTTCCATCACAATTTCTCTTTTCTTTTGAATAGTTTCTTCCCAATTCATAATGTTTTCATTTTAAATTAATTACATTTTAAATTTTGAAATTGCTATCATGAAACATATATTGTACATTTGGGGTCCTATTTTCTCATTCAGTTTCTCGTACTAGTGAGATTATATGATGTTTACACACGTGGATGTGATTTATCTCACTTATGAGGATGGTCTCAAGATGCATCTACTTACCTACAAAAATTTCAAATTTATCCTTCTTTATAGCTGAGTACTCCATTATATTTTAAAAAATCGTTTTTATCCATTCCTCAGTTGATGGACATTTGGGTTATTTCCAAGATTTGGCTATTACAAATTGTGCTGCTATAAACATGAGTATGTATGTATTACTGTGGTGTGATGCTTTAATTCTTCTGGGAAGATACTCAGAAGAAGAATACCTGGGTCTAATGGAATCCTAGTTTATTGAGGAGTCTCTACACTGATTTCCATAATGGTTGCACCAGTCTATACTCTCACCAACAGCAGAGAAGGATTCCTTTTTTCACACAGCCCACCAGCACTTGTTATTGTTTGAATTCTTGATGACACTCATTCTTTCTGGAGTGAGATGAAATGTCAGTATTATTTTAATTTTTGTCTCTTGGTTGTCCAATGATGTTGAACATTTTCTCATACATTTATTTGCCATTTGTATTTCCTCATCTGAAAAGTGTGTATTCATCTCAGATGCCCATTTTTGGACTGGTCTTTGAATTTGGAAGGCATCTTTTTTTCAATTCTTTATATGTTCTAAATGTAAGCCTTTTGTCTGAGGCACAACTGGATATAATTTTTTACCACTCTGTGGGTCATCTTTTTACTCTGTTGGTGATTTCTTTTGTTGTGCAAAAGCTTTCTAGCAAGCTGAGATCCCATGTGTTGATTATTTCTTTACGGTATTTCCCTGTGGTCTGAGTCTGCTTCATGAAATCTTTGCCAATACCTATGTCTTCAAGATTTCTATCTAACTTCTGGCTTAGTAGATTTACTGTTTCTGTTTGAATATTAAGATCTTTGACCAATTTGATTTTAGTTTAGTGTGTGGTGATAGATGTGGGTTTTATTTTAGTTTTAGTTTTAGTTTTTGGCATGTGGAAAACCAGTTTTTCCAGAACTATTTATTAAAGACAGTATCTTTCTTCCAGTGAACATGTTTGACCCCTTTGTCAAAAATAAGGTGGCTGGATGTGTTTAGAGTTTCATCTTCATCATCTATCTGTCCACTGATTCTCAGGGTGGTTTTTATTTGTTTGTTCACGTACTTTTGTTCTTTGCCAATATCTTGCTGATTTTATCACAGTAGCTTTGCTTTATAATTTTGAGTCAAGGATTGTGATGCCCTCTGACTTGTCTTTGTTGCCCAGAATTGCTTTTGCTATCCTAGTTCTCTTCTGCTTTCAAATGAATTGTAGCTATGTTTTCTCTCATTCTGTGAAGTATGCTAATTGTATTTTTATTGGGATTGCATTAAATCTGTGTAAAAGTTTTGGGAGTATGGCCATTTTCACTATGTTGGTTCTCCAGTCCATGAGCAAGGATATCCATTTTCTGATATACTCTTCAATCTCTCTCTTTTTGCGGGGGAGGGGGAGTACTGTGATTTTCAATTTATAGATCTTTTATTTCCTTTGTTATATTGATTCTTATGTATTTCATTTTTTGGATGTAAAGGGTGTGGTTTCCCTAATTTCTCTCTCTCTAAGTTTGTTGTTTGTGTTCAGGATTGCTATTGATTTTTTAGTGTTGACTTTGTATATAGCTATATTGCTGAATTTTGTTATTAAATCTAGAAGTCTTCTGGTGGTTTGGGGGTCTTCTATGTAGAGAATCATGTCATTTACAAATATCTTTCTTATGCATATTCCTTTTATTTCTTTCTCTTGTCTGACTGGTCTGGCTAATTTTTCCAGAACTATACTGACTAGGAGTAGTGATAGTGGGTGTCCTTGTCTTGTTCCTGATTTTAGAGTGAAAGCTTTTAGATTTTGTACATTTACTATGATGTCAATTGTTGGTTTATCATAGATGATTTTTATCAGATTAAGGTAAAAACCACGTATTCCAATTTTCTGTAGGATTTTTGTTATTGTGAATGGGTATTGAACTTTGTCAAATTTTTTTTCTGCATCTATTGAGATGATCATGTGATTTTTGTCTTTGGTTCTGTTAGTGTGGTGTATTACATTTTATTGAGTTGTATACGTTGAACCATTCCTGCATCCCTGGAATGAATCCTACTTGATTATGTGTACAATCTTCTTAATGATTTGTTGCATTCTGTTTGTCACTATCTTATTGAGGATTTTTGTGTCTATCTGCAGTTGGAAAATTGGCCTGTAGCTTTCTTTTTTGGATGGGTTCTTCTCTAGCTTTGGAATCAGGGTAATACTTGATTCCAAGAATGATACTGGAAGTTTTGTGTCCCTTTTGATTTCCTTAAAGAGTTTCAGCATTAGTGGCATTAGTTCTCTAAATTTCTTGTGGAGATCAACAGTGAATCTATCAGGATTTGGGCTTTGTTGATAAGTTTTTAATTACATTTTCAAGTTCATTGGCTAATGTCAGGTTATTTAGAATTTTTATTTTTTCTTGGATTAGCTCTGGCAGTTAGATTATGTTTTAGAATCTGACCATGTCTTCTGTGTTTTCCATCTTATTAGAGTACAGATTCTCAAAGTATGTATTAATGATCTGGATTTCTGTGAGATCCATTGTGATTTCCCCCTTTTCATTTATAATTGCTTGAATTTATGTTTTTTCTTTCATCTTTTTGGTGAGGTTGGCTAATGGTTTATCAATTTAATTTTTTCTTTCAAAGAACCAACTTTATGACTCATTGATTCTTTGTATTGTTTTCTTAGTCTCCATTGCACTAATTTCTATTCTGAACTTTATAATTTCCTGCCTTGTATTAGCTTTGGGTTTGATTTGTTCTTCTTTTTCTAGAAGTTTGAGGTTCAGCATTAGGTTATTTGACTTTGTTGTGTTTTCCTAATGTGAGAGTTCATTGCTATAAATTTCCCATGTAGGACTGCTTTCATTGTGTCCTGTAAGTTATGGTATGTTGTATGGGCATTATCATTTAATTGCAGACACTGTTTAATTTCATCTTTAATTTCCTTTGTGATCCATTGGTTATTCAGAAGGGTGTTAATTTCCATGTATTTATGTGGTTTTTGTGATTCCTTTTGCCATTGATTTCTGGTTTCATGTGCTATGGTGAGATAGGACACATGGAATGACTTCAATTCCTCTACATCTACTTATGCATGTTTTTATGGGCTAACAAGTGATCTGTTGTGGAAGCTGTCTCATGTGCAGCTGAGAAGAATGTGTATTCTGATGCTTTGGGGTGGAAAACTATAGACATCTATCAAGTCCATTTGGCCACAGGCTTGGTTTAATTCTGATATTTCTTTGTTGATTTTTTGTATAGTTGATCTAACTATTTGTGAGCATGAGGTATTAAGATTCCCCATTATAATTGTGTTAGTGCTTATTTGATTTTTCATGACTGTTACTATTTGTTTTATGTAGTTGGATGCATCTATCTGGTGCTTGTATATTTATGATTATTATCTATTCTTCTTAGAATTTTCCCTTAACATGTGTGTAGTGAGCTTCTTTGTCTCTTTTGATCAATTTTGTCTTAAAGTTTACATTATCTGCATGTATAATAGCTATCCCTGCTTATTGAAGGGTTCCTGTGGCATGGAGTACTGTTTTCCATCCTTTGACTTTTAGTCTATGAATTTATTTTTGGTTAAACGTGCTTCTTGAATGAAGTATATTGTTGAATCTTGTTTTTTGATTCATTCTGCCAATCTGTTTCTTTTGATTTGTAAATTGAGACCAATTACATTGATGGTTATAACAGATATGTATTGGCATAACTTTTTCATGTTATTTTGCTGTTTGTTCCCTGTCTTTTCTCTCTGTTTAATTGCTCACCTTGCACCTTGTGACTTCTTTATTTTGTTGTTCTTGTGTTTGTGGTCTTCATTTTCTCTTTCTCCATTTCTCTTTCATTTTCTCAAAGCTTTCTCAAGAGCTGATTTAGTGGTCATGAATTTCTTAAGTTGTTCTTTGGCACTAAAGTATCTTATTTTTCCATTGATTTTGAAGGATAGGTTTTTTTGAGGAGAATACATCATTATGGGTTGCAGAGTGTTCTTTTAAGGCTTAAAATATCTCACACCAAACTCTTTTTTTTTACAAGTTATACAGATTTACAGAAAAAAATAAACAGTAGGAAATCACTGGTTAATGGATTACATATTGTCATCTTAGAAATAATTATTCAAGTTACAAAATTAAAGCTTATAAAGTGGACATTCCAACAGTGAGACTGCAAACAGTTCTGTTCAATGATCCAACAAAACTCAGTAATATCATTATCAATCTTATACAATTAAATATACATGCAGTTATATCATTTAGAGCACTTTCTTTTCCTCTCTTTTGTACAATGATAAGTACACATTTTGGGTTTTGTTGCTCCCACAGTTCTTATTACTTTTTTGGAAGAGAATAGAACCAAATGTGACATAACAGAACAGAGTCAGT